TTTTTTGGTCAATCATACTAAGCAACGCTCCATCACACAGAGCCGCCGGAAGTCCAGTTCATCGAATTGCCTAGCACATCTGAGACCCCTCGCCCGATCCCGATCCACCCGCACATATACAGCAACGGAATCATATGTCTAGACCTCCTCAGTTCAGCCGGCTGGTCACCTGTACAAACAGTTGAGAGTGTCTGCATGAGCATTCAAAGTATGCTGACCGCAAATACACGCGACGAACGACCTCCAGGCGACAGCGACTTCGTCTCGTACAACCGACGCCGGCCCCGCGACATCAACTTCTTCTACGATGATGACAACGTATAATCGTGTCTGAGGGCATTGTCAAGGGCGACTCAGCGTCAGTATTGAGCGCCATGCTTTCGTTTTCTCAAGCGATGGTGTCCTGTCAAGCCGGCTCTTGCATGTTCTGGATCAATCTACCCTTCGGACAGCTGGCCGTTCACAATCACCCAAGATTATCCAGAGGATTGCCGATTGCTGATCTAATATACATTCATGCTCATGCACCGGCCGTTAATTGTTATTATCTCCATTCTCAAGTTGCATTTGCATAGGCGCATGTTTCATGGGCGTTTCAGGAGCGGGTTTGTAGTTAACTTGGAGTAGCATATATTATCACTTACATATTATACTCGCATAAAATCATTTATGTGGTGAAGTCGGATGCCTTATTTTTCCTATTTTTTTCATCGGTCACTTTGTCATTTAAAAAATGTGGGGTTATCGATATCCGATATATATATCTCCCCGCTCCTATGAAATATCTTTCCATGTTCCACTACGTTACATTGGCATCACTTTTGAAAAGAATGTAATACGTTACACATACCGTTCTAACCATCTACATGACAAACCCCACATTTACTTAACACATGATATTGTAACTTGAAATTCGGTCACTATACACAGGGTGGATGATGGCAAGAAAAGAGATAGAGATCGGGATTCAGGTAGAGTCGACAAACATAGGAAACAGACAACGCCATTAAAAACGGAATTGGTACAGCGAGGTGATGATGATCCAACAACAGCACCGCCGCGATGAGTTGAGCACGGAGAAAAACCAAGAGGTAGATGGAAGGTTATTTTTTAAAAGAGCTTTATCTTTGCTTCTTTTCTATACTTTGGAAGAATCAAGTTAGAGTCGTTTTACAGAAGCTTTGGAGATCCCTCTTGTATTTATTTGTCTACCGGTCGACTTCACCGAACACCAGATCCATTGTACCTGGATTTGAAGATTAGCGGAGCGTTTCCTCGAAAGTTGTGGGGGTTCTAGATTTATGGAAACTTACCAATAATGGCGACAGCATCTGCCAGCAAGTGACCACGAGCGACCTGATCGAAACCACCCAAGTGGGCAAAACCAGGAGCACGGATCTTGCAACGGTAGGGTCTCTCACTGCCGTCACTGACCAGGAACACGCCCATCTCACCCTTGGGGGCCTCAATGGCAGAGTAGGTCTCACCAGGGGGAACGGCGTAACCCTTGCTGAAGAGGAGGAAGTGGTGGATCAGGGCCTCCATGTTCTCTTTCATGGCGGCACGAGGGGGAGGTGAGAGCTTGTAGTCCTCGACCTTGACAGGACCAGCGGGCATCTGGTTCAGGCACTGGTGGATGATACGGAGGGACTGGCGGAACTCCTCCATACGGCAGAGGTAACGATCGTAACAGTCACCGTTGACACCGACGGGAACGTCAAATTCAACCTTGTCGTAAGCGTCATATGGCTGGGACTTGCGGATATCCCACGGCACACCAGAGCCACGGAGCATGACACCAGTGAAGCTCATGCTCAGTGCATCAGCGGCGCTGACAACACCAACGCCCTGAGTTCTGGCCTTCCAGATACGGTTATCGGTGAGCAGCTCCTCGGTCTCGTCGATACGGTCACCGAACTGGGTAGCCCACTGGTAGATATCATCGAGAAGGCCGAGGGGGATATCCTGGGACACACCGCCGGGGCGGACGTAGGCAGCGTGGAGACGGGCACCGGAGACACGCTCGTAGAATTCCTATGTGAGGGATTGACCATCAACCACCTTGTCATCTGCTTGCGGTGAACTTAATGTTGCTTACCATGAGCTTTTCACGCTCCTCGAAACCCCACAGGAATGGCGTAAGAGCACCAACGTCCATAGCGTGAGAAAGAACGGACATGAGGTGGTTCAGAATACGGGTCATCTCTCCGAACAGTGTACGAATATACTTGGCTCTCTCAGGAACTTCAACGTTCAGCAGCTTCTCGACAGCGAGTGAGTAGCACTGTTCATTCGTCATCATGGAGACATAGTCCAGTCGGTCGAAGTAAGGCAGAGCCTGCATGTAGGTCTTGTATTCGATCAACTTCTCAGTACCACGGTGAAGCAATCCGACGTGAGGATCTGCGCGAACGATCTCTTCACCATTGATCTCCAGAATCAGTCGAAGCACACCGTGAGCAGCAGGATGCTGAGGACCGAAGTTGACTGTGTAGTGACGGATTTTGCGGCCGACCCCTTCACTCTCGGATTCGAGACCAGCGGCAACATCGGGTTCTTGGGGACCATCCTTGTTAGCCAGACTTGTGAAGGTGGGATCAGTGGGGATGAGTCTGGTAGCCTGGTAGCTGGTCGGTTCCGCTTGCCGACGAGGAAGCGTCGTCGCTATCGAGCGGGATCTGGGGATGGCGTTGTATCTGGTGAAGTTGGAGGGGCGGAGACAAAGCCTTTTGGGCGCGCTGCCCGCCAGGCGAGTAAAGGAAGCAGCCATTCGGAAGAGAGGGGAGAAGGACGAGGAGGAATTGGAGGCTGTCGGTCCTCAGTCCGGACGCAATTGATGGAGGGACTCTGCGGAGTGGTCTACACGGGTTGATGCTTGGAGGTTGCGCTGAATTACAATTTGGGCGGTCACGTGAGGAGGAGCTTATGGTCATCAGGCCGTCTCTGGTTGGTCTTCAGTTCCCGCTTATTCTGCACCCACGCTAGCTCACATTTCAAGGTAAATCGGAAAATCACGGGCCGCCCTTCCATAGTGTGCTCTACCCTCCCAGGTGCAGTATAGTGAGGCATACTCTCCGCCTTCGACCTGCAGACATACTGCCGGTTGTCTAAAGAACTTTTTTCCATTTTTCCCTCCATATCATCAACAACTTGATACTCGCAAATCGCTCACTCATCATGGCGCCTCTCGTTCCTTCGCAGGCGGAGCTTGATCGCCGGAGGGTAATTTATCATATGAGTACCAATTTTCCTTTGCTTACCATGCTAATTCTTGCCCTAGCTCGTCGACATCAATCTGGAAACGGTCTCCAACATCCCCTCCACAGACTTCCCGGGTCACTGGCCGGGCGAGTCGCATGAGTGGAACTTGGAGAAATTCAGAAATGTACAGTCCTTGTGTACTCCTTGCATTCTACGCACTTGCGTGCCTTGATTTTCTGTGTGCGCTTACATTATTTTGCTCTACAGGAATTCAATGTTGAGTTCCATCGCAACGAAAGATTCGAATCTTCCTTCTCTCTCATCGGCGTCGACGCATCGATCGCAAATGCCTTCCGCCGTATCGTCATGGCTGAAGTTCCCAGCGTTGCCATCGAGTTCGTCTTCGTTCACAACAACACCTCCGTCATCCAGGATGAAGTGCTCGCTCAGCGATTGGGTCTGATTCCACTGAAGGGTTCCGTGGATGGTATAAACTGGATGCGTTGGTTTAAGAAGGCTACGGAGGATGATCCCGAGGGTAGCGATCCGTCCGATTATAACACCATCGTCTTGCGACTCGACATCGAATGCACCAAGAACCCCAACGCTGACCCCACTGAGAATGACCCCCGCAAGCTGTATAAGAATGCGCATGTTTACGCCAGAGATATTACTTTCCATCCTGTCGGACGTCAGGAACAATTCTTTACTGGCGAGGATGCTATTCAGCCGGTCAACCCAGACATCCTGATCGCTAAGCTTCGCCCGGGTCAGAAGATCGACCTGGAAATGCACTGTATCAAGGGCATTGGAGCCGACCATGCTAAGTTCTCGCCTGTTGCTACCGCCTCATACCGTTTACTTCCCGATATCCAGATTCTGCGCCCCATTCTTGGAGAAGACGCTAAGAAGTTCGCCAAGTGCTTTCCTAAGGGCGTGATCGGTTTAGAGCCTGTTACCCGGGAAGAGGCCGCGAAGCAGGGAAGCGGATACGAGGGCCACGAGGGCGAGACGAAGGCTGTTGTTCGTGATGCCTTCAAGGATACTGTTAGCAGGGAATGTCTCAGACATGAGGAGTTCCAGGGCAAGGTGAAGCTCGGTCGCGTGCGCGACCATTTCATCTTCAACATCGAAAGTACTGGCCAATTCGATAGTGATGTCCTGTTCTTAGAAAGCGTGAAGGTCCTGAAGCTCAAATGCGCCAGATGGAAGCGGGGATTGGCGGATCTCATGCGGTAAACGAGTTCTACGCTATATTCCCGCATTTCATGTTAAAATTCTTAATGCATGGTCGGCGTTGGTTTTCGTTGCTATTTTGCGAGTTTGTACAGTTTATGAAAAGTCGGTCAAGACCTTCTTTTGTTGGGAGTCTGGATAGGGCGATTTTTGTCACATAGAAAAAGCACAATTGATATTGAAGCCTTGATCTAGTAAGAAAGTCTTTGTATTTATCGTAACGACTCATATCTCATATGAAGAGTAAAACGTTGCTGTTATTCTTATTTGAACAACAAGCGGTAGCGGAAATCAATAGTATACGCGGGATCGCTGACCGCAATTTCTTGCCCGTCTTCTACCAAATCCCTGAGCTTGCGTTTCAGATTGGCCCTGGTCTGTTCCTCCAGTTGGGGCGGGAAACGCTGGTAGAGCGTCTTTTCTTCCGTTCTCATGCTAGGCTTCTTAAGCTGAGCTTCCGGCCGGTCCCCAAGGGTGTCGATGTACTCTTGCAGCGTCATGTCCGGATCGACAGTCATATTACGCGCGAGGTTTCCACAGACAGGGCAATCCGGTTTCTTTTCAGCCTCGAATGTATAGGTGTACACACCTTCTTCACCAGCATACATCATATAGTTATCAAGGTACGGGTTGCACGAGGTGGCAATCTTTAATGCCTCAGATGTTGTCGCAGCAGCAATGACAGCATTTGTGGAGGCGATTGCAGGAATGATGTTCTTAACTACACCCTGGGTCATCTGGAAGGTGACTCCGTGGATATGGAATTGCTTTGCTCGCCCAAGAGCCGCATTGTACACCCAGCCAATGTGGTCCAGATCATCACTATCGAACGGGTCGTCTTTGCGCTTTTCCTGCCAGGCTATCTGGTGCGCCCACTCGATACAATGCTGGGGCTGTCGAGGGATGGTTGCAATTGTGCATAGCGGCACCGCAGGGCGGGGAGCATGCATGTCAAGCTGACACTCAATGCACGAAGACAGGGTTGGTAGGATAACACGCGCCTGCCCTTTGAAGCCTGGTCCTTGTTAGCCTACTGTGATAGCACAGGGAGATATAGTTTAGTACCTTCAGTTCCTCCATCGATGAGAGGCTTCAGGCTCTCAGGGTTTTCAGGATCAACCATGCCAATAAGGGTAGCATTGATCCATCGTCTCGCTTCTATGCTATCGAGACCGCAAACGACTATCTTGAACTGCATGTAGTAATCCTCATCCTTATCTTGAATCTTCCCTACATAAGGGGTAATCTTGACACCTTTGACTCGTCTCTCTACGAAAGCAGCCGCAACCTCGGCTTTAGGTTTGCCGATGTCAGATTGACGGAACAAAAACTGGCGATTCAGGTTGGATATGTCGATGGTATCTGTTAAAGTTAGCTGCGGTACACGGGACGAAGTGATAGGGGAAAGACTTGCCCATATCAATAACATGAATATCCTTGAAACCGGACAAAGCAAGATTCTTCAGGATCTCGCATCCTAGACCTCCAGCCCCGCTAAGATCGTTTCACTTAGTAACCATACCCATCAATAACAGGAGGGTCCGCGTGTATACATACATAACTCTGGACTACGTTAGTGGTCGATAGTTTGCTTAATCCATTTAGAACATACAGAATTTTCGATGTCTCCAAAGCACTAATGGTCTCGGGACCAGGCACCCAGTCTTCATCGCTGAAAGGTCCCGGCTTGCTTAATACCTTGTGGAGGTGTTTCCTGCGTGGGGTGAGTGAAATTATCAATAACTAACGTGAGAAGAAAGGGCATCTTACCACCTAAGAGGAGAGTCTGCGGAAGCCATATTGGACACGGGGTATGCTCTATTCAATCTAAGGCTACAATGGACGTCTCTGTGATTTGTTGGTTTTACCGCATCCGTAGTTAATGACGCCAGAGGTTCGAGCTGTACACTCCACTGAAATGAGTGCTTCAGAAGAGTCGATGATAAATTTTAAACCTTCTTTCCAAGAGTCACCTAAATTCTCAGGAGTCAAATAAGACAACCTATGTCTGGTGGAAACAAGCGCAGGTAGTGAAGATGGGAAGTTGTTGATCGATTGACTGATTGATTGTTCCAGATACACTCCGCTGCACGTGACCCCTCCGCTTATACAATTTCCTCCAACCTTTGCTAATCATTCTACTTTTCTCCAACGTCAGTTACTCCAAAAAATGGACGGTTTATTGACAGAAGTTAAGACCGTTACTCATGACCGGGACACGTCCCTATTGATTGCCAAGGAGAAGCCTGTCAACGGGTTAGAGAGGCATGAAGCCACTTCGAAAGCCGACACTGATGCAGACCTGACATCCGCGGATTATATATTAACAGTACTGAAGTCGAAACCTGATCGTGCAGGACTTTCTGACGTCCTTAAAGTACTGGATCCATCAAACAAATGCATAACTCCAAGAGTCTTTGATATTAGAGTTCCGAGTCCGACAACTGCTCAGATACTCAATGCCTTAGGCACCGTTACGGTCCCTGATCATTGGGCCTCATTGAATGCAAGGTCAAAGGGGTCAACATCAGAAGGCAATAAACTACGAGCCGCTCTACTGAGATGCTTTAGCAGCGTCTCTGGTATTAGTTGCTTGGTGACTCAACTTCGCTCACTTATAGCTGCAGCGCGGTCATCCTCCCAGCAGGCGAAAGCATCAGGCTCTCAAATTCGGATTCGAGATATTCTGGCAATCCTTTCTGCTCTCTTGAAGCCCAAAGATCTTGCATTGCGTATATACACGGATTTTGAGACACTCTACAGCAATGCAACTCAGAAGCAGGTTGCATGGAGAGAATTCCTGTCTCTTATTGCTGCTAGCAAGGTTCTCTCGGCTACAGCGGAGGCTCTCACGTTAGCTGGGGATTTTGATAGCCTGGGTACGATCTTATGGATTGGAGACGGCCCCCAATATACCTCTTGGTTAGGTAATAACATCTGTCATATGGTGTCAAAAATTGATTTGGATAACCAGGACGCTTGGAAAGCGGTTGCCTCTCTAACCGGACGATCATTGAGCCTTGGCTATACAGGTACTTTACACTATTCATACGCCATTTCTTATGCTAACTTCTATACCCAGATCACCTGGCTCGTGAGTTATATACCAACTTGCTCATTAGTGAGACTCTCCGAGAACGATATAGTTCTCTTTTCGATACACTTCGGCCGATGGAACAGCTTGCGGTGTTGGAAGCCACATTCCGCGACCTTGAAAAGAAGTATTTCTTAGCACTGATCGATCCAAGCAATGAGGCTATCTTGCGCCAGCGTGTTGGCGGTGTTGCAGGATTGTGTTCTAGCATCATAGGCGAGCGCCAACATATACAAACTCGGCTTCTGGATTGGCTATCAAAAGGCCAGGGTGGCTCCATACAGACTATTGGGTTACGCCGGGCATTGTTGGCTAGCTTTGCAGATCAGAAGGGTAAGCCCAACTACACTGTCTTATAGCCTTTAGTAACATGGGGTGGAAACAGAGTCAATGACAACGTTGCTCAAAAACAGCCTGGAACAGTCTAGTGACAAGTTCTATATTAAGCATGCGCCAATTGTGAGCCAAGAAGGTACATTCACATCGTTGTGATTGTAGTTAAGTTTCAGATACTGACATGCCCCAGCGAATACCCAAGTCCTACTGTTGGCAGCAGGTTACCTTAAGCGACTTGATTCAAACGCCATCATGGAAATGGGACGTTCGAGTGCGTTTCTCAACACGGTTTCCAACCGTTTGGCCGCATCATCATCTAAAGCCCGATTTCTTGGAATGATCATTGGGATGTCAATTTCGCAGCTCATTGAACAACCGGGGAAAGCAATGAAATTCGACGTTGAAGAAATGGAGGGCGACGAGGCCTTGTGGTACTTCAACCTGGTCAACACTCAAGACAGTATTGGGTCTTTTGCATCAATTGTGCCAACTGACTCAGCATCCTTGTCACAACAACCTGCCAAAAGTTCATCTACTCCGGCAACGGCTACTCGGAAACCACCAGCTCGGCAGACGGCGAAGATAGTGGCTATCGAAGAAATAGGGTCCGAAAACGAAGAGTCTGAAGAAGATGAGGACCTCATTCCCTACGAGAAACCCGATGAAGATCCTTACGATTCAGACGAAGACCCAACGTTAGTCCAACGCAACAAACCAACAACACCAGTGTGAGTCGGGCAAGGATATTCTCTCCTATGGATGTGACTAATACGTTTTAGCTATATCCGTGATCTCATAATCTACCTAAGAGACACGGAAAACGTAGAACGCTTTGAACTGGCAATAAGCACTGCTCCCTCATTAATCAGACGAAAAACTGGCTTTGGGACCGAACTCGCCGAGAATACCGAAGAACTGGCTCTTGTTATAGTTGGTTTACAAGAGCAGAGCAAATTCCCGAAATTCCATGAGTATCGGCTGCAGAGTATCATTGCCTTGGTCGTGTCCCAGCCTTTGAAGATGGGTCGATGGCTCACTGCAATGTTCTTTGACGGAGACCTGTCTCAAGTGCAACGGTCCGCAGTTCTAACAGGCTTAGGTCTGAGTGCCCGTGAAATAGCTGGGAATGGCGAGAATGACGCTAAAACACTGGGCCTTCCAACACTACCAGATGCGTCGTTCCCATCGAAGAAGTTACCAACCAATTTGGAAGCCTTATACTCGAGCAATGAATCTCCAATAGCTAGTCTAACAAAGAAGCTAGCGCAAACCTCCCTTCAACCACTGGCAGTTAATGCTGCAGATTCGCTTTCTGGTCCGAACGCTCTTAAAGTCCGAACATTCTCTTCTCGAATGGAGGTCGAGAAGCAACGCCAGCAGCGAGAGGCCCAACGTCAGAAATCCACAGCTAAGGATCTCTACAAAGTGCTGGCGGAAGGGTTCTTCCATCCACTAAAGAGTCGATTTGAGATCATGATGCTGCAGTTCTCTTCGTGAGTACTACCTAATTAATGAGATGTCGAGCAGTGGCTCATTCTAACAACGATACAGGTCAACAGCCCCTTCATACAATCCCTTCCTTACTCCTAATCTTCTCACATTGTTCATCCAGACCCTTACCCTCACCCTTTCCACCATGGGGCCTCATACTCCATACCTCCCTACCGTCACAGAGGACGCATTAACCTTCCTCCTCTCGCTCCACACGCGTCCCGTTTCTGACGACCCTACAATCCTCTCTGCTCTTCTAGCTCTCTTCCTCGCGATAGTAGATTTGAATGTCGCATCGGGCTCCACCGGTGAGGAACGACTTGTCACTGAATTCGCGTCGCAGGTAATCGAGTTGCGTGAGTGGGCAGGCGAGGTTTTCGACCGTACACCTGCAGTCAAGGGAGACGAACCCAGAGAACAGGTCAGATCATTAGCAGCAGGTGTAATGGTCAAGCTAGGAGAAGTGATGGAACGGTACCAAGGGCGGTTGATGGGCGTGAATTCCGGGTTCAAGTATTGATTTATGTAGATACTATAGATGGAAATAGTATACACTTTCCAATATTTCAGTATGAATTGCTTAGCGTACCATTCTCACTCATGATTATTAACTAAGTCATGACGATTAAAAAAACATGCATGAGAATTACTCGCAGAGTCCTCATATCCCATGACCACTTATTCCGTCTTCGTGAAATCTTGCTTCTCAATCGCAGCCTCCATCATCTTATCTCCATTAATAATGCTCGTGGTACAGATGACGATCTTCCTCCGGGGTGCCTCCTGCTCCGCAATAAACCGCAATGCAGCGATTTCCGTGAACGTAATACCACCCAAGAAGAATACATAAACTGTCTTGGTAGCATTGTTACCGCTAAGCGTTTGTCGGGCACGGATCGCCTTATCATCGCCCTTTTGGACAATACTGAACGTTGCGCCGCGGGCGCTCTTCACTAAGTCCTCAAAGCCGAGCCAGCCCGGGGATGCGGTACTGGCTGGGCTCGGCGAGGCGGAGGCTGCAACGGATCCACCTCGGATGAGGGAGAGGACGTATGGCTTTTGCAGGACGCATTGGACAAGACGGACACTGAGGGGGGCGAAACCGCTGTATACGTAGGCGATGTCGTTGGGATCCTTCTCGCTGACTTCTTCGACTACGAGACGAAGGTTCTTTCGTAGATAGCCGTAGTTTGTTTTGGAGCCTGGTTGAGTGCCCGTTGTCGGGAGGAGCATGGCTGTAGCAGAGGAACGGGGTTGAAGGAGTTCCATTTTCTCGAGAGCGGAGAACGTGAGTAGATGTTGGTGGCCGTACGCGTGGACGATCTGTCGCTTGAAATTTTCGAGGTCCCGTGGGCGGAGACCGCCTGCCATGCAGGATTCCAGGCAGAGGAGGCGGAGGACGGTTTTGAGGGGGACGTCGCGAGCAATGAGCTCTTCGACGGAGTCGTGTTGGTAGGTTGGGTCGGCGCCTGCGGCGTTGTTTTGCTGGACTTCTAGAATCTTGCGGAAGATATCTGAGCGGGTGTTTCGCATGATCTCCTCGGCGAGATTGGTGTGGACGCGGAGGCTTTGATGCTCCAGTTGGTATGTTGGTAGTTTGTTGACGAATTCACGGAGTTCTGTTGTGGTCTTCGCTGTGTGACGGCTTTCGTAGTCACTCTCGAGACGACGGGCTACTCTGTTCAGAATATCGCCGACGATGGCGAAGTTGGCGTCGCGCAGTTGGCTGAAGAGTTGATCGGAGGCATCTAACTGGACTTTTCGCTTTTGTCCCTGCTTAGACGTTTGCTGTGGGGCTTTGGAAGATTCTTGTGCTTGGGGGACTGGTGTTGGGCCGACGATGGCTGTGTCCACTTCTGCCTGGTTGTGCTTGATTCCTACGGTCTCATCGATTAAGCCTTCATATGTGAGCTGAGTGAGAAGGGCAGAGCCGAAGTCGACTTCACGGTCAATGATGATCAGGCTTTCAGTATCTGCGCTTGGGAGAAGCCCTCTGGCGCTGAGGTCAGTTAGGCCAGAGCTCTCTTCAGCATCAAGCTCCTTTCTCATGCGCAGCAGAAGATCTGCCAACCGTCGTGCATTGTCACCCTTGCCGATTATACGGGGGAAATAACCATGTCTCTGTTGAATACCCATAAGGGCCTTGGCAGCCAGGTAAACACAGCCTGGATCTTTGTGCTGCAACAATCAACATGGATTCTTTCGCAGGGTAAGGCTAATGCGTACCAGGTACAAGTCGCTGAACGAGTCCTCTAGCTCTAATGACAAGACATCTTGCTCCAGAGGCATGAAGTACACGGCAAGTTCTGCGATGTTCACATCCCCGATGATTCCTGCATCTTCCAGGATTGCATTGCTTACAAGGGTACGTCTTGGGACCCAGAATATAGAGAATTCATGCTCAACATTTCCATTGCGCTGTAGGCGTTTAATCTGGTCTAAGAGGTGTCAGCTCATTCTGATGGCATTCAGTCGGAGACATTGAGAAAGAAAGCCTTATGGATGAGCTGATATAGAATAACAAGATTCTTAATTTAGGGATCTTTTGACTGACTACGTAGAGTAGGAAGGCATCTGCGTAATCTACTGTTTGTCCCATGTGTGATGCCTGTGCTTCGCCATTTATAAGACGAGCAGGCCGAAACAAAACTACGAAGCGGTGGTAAGCAGAAAACGACATACCTGCGACGGTCCGCACCTGGCGTGTCTTTTCAGCATGAACTAGGAATACGACATTGCGTTGAGATGAGTCCACATTGCCATTCTCCAGTAGGAACACTCGGTCTACACCGTACTCTTGGAGTAGAGAGAACTTGACAAAGAGCCCGACTGGACCGGCCAAATCCTGGCTGACAACAAGGTTCTTCTTCCCACGCACCTGCACCAATTTCAGCTAAGCCCGAGAGATTTGTTGGTGCCTTGAGAGACCCGGAGCCTTACTCACGCCTTCAAGCAGAGTCAACAGATCCCTACGCGCCTTGTCCTTAAAATAGTCAGCATCAGACCCAAGATACGGCGCCATGGCTGCTGGGGAAGCCCTTGAGGACGTGTGATTGGGAGAGGAAGGCGAAGAAGCCAACCTTGAATGTTTTCGGCGAGGCTTTTGAGGCATTGACGGTACACGCTAAACCCAGTCTGGCCTAGTGACTACACCGCCCAGCACTGCCACATGGGGTTTGTATGAATGTATGTACTGTACAATACAAGTATTGTCCCTAGGTAGCCTGATTGTCAAGGACCCTTTAATTAAGTGGTGGTACCGGTAATACTAGTAGTAGTACTTGTCGCCACGGGGTCTCGACTCTCCATCCAATAATTCCTCAGGAGGGTCTCCTTTAATTGTGCCAGTTTCACATTTCCTTTCTCCTGTCTCACTTCCTTCCCTCTCTATTATTTGGTTCTATTCCACTCTGTGGTTTATTCTCTGTCCTCCTGTGATTACTGTTTTCTTCTTTTGGTGTGCTCTTTATACCCATTTGCACTGAATTTTGGTTCTACTACAAGATGGTATTCGGACGCAAGAAGGACGACGACGATTCCTCTAACCGCCGTGCACTTTTCGGCTCTAGGTCGAAGAACAAGAGCCCCGCGCCCCCCGCCAACCCTTATGCAAAGCCTATCCCTACCGACCCTTACACTAAAGCCAAGATTAATGCCGGAGTGGCTCCTTTACCAGCGGGCGAACAGCTACCTGCTCACAACACCCCCGCAGGCGGAAATGTTCCTGGCGATAACAAGCTCCAGGGAGGTTATGCCCCCAACAAGTTTGTGAACCAAGGTGGATATGGAGGTGATCGATTCGGTGGTGGGGGTCCAGCCCCGGCCGCGTCGCGGTATGGCCCAGGTGGCTATGGAGGATTAGGCAGCGCCGATCCCAACGATCCCGGTGACGCTGGCAGGGATGCACTGTTCGGAGGAGCTAGGGAAAGAGCGCAACAAGAGCAGCCACAGGGTGGCGCACCACCCCCCCCGTATTCCGAGGGTACTCCCTCATACGGCGGTGGCAGCAATGCATACACCACTTCGACTTACCAGGAACGCCACCTTACAGCAGAGGAAGAGGAGGAAGAGGAGATCCAGACCATCAAGCAGGACATCCGGTTTATCAAGCAGGGCGATGTGGCATCCACCCGGAATGCCCTTCGTATTGCAGCACAGGCCGAGGAGACAGGTCGGGAGACTCTTGCTCGTTTGGGTGCGCAAGGAGAGCGGATCCACGACACCGAGAAGAGCTTGGATATTGCCACGATAGAAGGTCGTATTGCCGAGGAGAAGGCGAAGGAGCTGAAGACGCTTAACAAGAGCATGTTCGCCGTCCATGTCTCAAACCCATTTACCAGCGCCCGTCGTCGCCGCGACCGTGATGAGAAGATCTTGAATACTCACCGGGAAGAGCGTGATACTCGTGAAGGTACTCGCAAGGAGGCTTTCGTCACCAACCAGCGTATGGAGCGCACATTCAGAGAGATCGACCGTGAAGCCGGCAAGCATAACGGACGAGTGCGTACGAACGCTACCGAGCGTGCTAAATATCAGTTTGAGGCTGATAGCGAGGATGAGGCGATGGAGGATGAGATCGAGCAGAATCTGGACTTGCTTTCCGGAGCTGCAGGCCGGTTGCATGGGCTTTCTAAAGCGACGGGTCGCGAGCTGGATGAGCAGAACCGTCATCTGGAGCGTATCATGCAAAAGGTGAGCCTTTATTTTTTCGACCATGTTTGTAGAAAAGGAACTAATTCTGTTATAGAGCGATTTTGTCGACGACCAGATTGCCATGAACCGCGCCAAGCTGGACCGGATTCGTTAGATTTCTTGTGGTATATAGAGAATTTGCAGGGAGGTTGTCGATGCCTGGTGCTCTCAACCTCAATGCGAATTGTCACTGTGCATGTTCTTCATATCAACTACATATCCCTGGCGTTCTGGGTTCTCATATCTTCAATCCTAGTGTTCGTTGCCTGTCTTGGTTGTTCGGATCTTGCATCGGAGGAACTTAATGGTACTTATTACTTTCGGCGGAATAGAGCATGTTCTGGTCTATACCCAAGTTTGTCGCAAGCAAGTTATCTTGTAGGCTTTATTGTAGAACACGGAAGAGTGATTTTCTGCCCCAAGACATCCATCCGGTACGGACCTCCATTATCCACTGCCAACCACTGTCACTCGTTACACATCTTGAAGTGACCAAATTCAAGACCGGTAGACCTAAAAAGATCACTGTACCGTGAAAGCCTGTCGGTAGCATGCAGGACAGACTCAGTCAAGGTTTTCTATCGAGCTACCGTCACTGAAGACACTTACGCTCAGCACGGTATATAGACCTGGCCTCGAAGGTTGGAGAGGATCTGCAGAAAACGCTGTGAAAGCCTACGGGCTTTATATTCGTGGACTCCTCGGCCGATTGTACGGAGGGTATTCATCACTGTAAAACATCCTGGGCAAGTATATCCACCTGTTAAGGCAACGGTGTTATGGGCTTACTAGATCCTTCAAGTAGAATGAATATCCCGGTCTTGCCATATAGTCGGCAAATTTCTCGGAATTGTAGCCCATCATAAATCCTATCGAGTTATACAGTTCACATATAAGACTCCACCATCCCACTACAGACGATATCGAAACCCCACAGTGTTCCAATCAGTCACATCGTCATAATCCTCTGGCCGCAAATCAACCGACCTGACCAGCTCCGAAACCTCATTGTTACCCCGTCGACGCTCCTCAACCACCTTCCCCCCAACAGCCCCCGACAAACCCGCATTTCCTTGCACGCCCTCCTCACGATCCCTCCTCTTATTAATTAACTGCAAATAAACCCTCAACGAGATAGCCAAACCACCAGAAATGATATAACAAATCAAGATAGCTTTAAAAGAAGTCTGGTACGTTGGCGCCTCACTCGCCCGAAACAACTGCGGACCTGCAATATTCCCCGCGCAATATGCCACGAATATCATGGCCGTCATCGTCATTTTTTTCGTGACACCCCTGTAATTCGCCTGAACGAGGGACATAGCCAGGGGCAAGGCACCGGGCCCCGTCGCGAGGAGAAAGTATCCGAACAGCTGGGCACCAAGAGGGACATGATGAGCACGGGCATAGATCAAAGCACTTCCTATAATCGATAAGGTTACAATGCAGACGATCAAGATGCAGTTCACCTGTCTATAGCGACCGGCTATCCAGCCTGTAATAGTGATTGTGGAAGCGCTGACTACACTCGAAGGGATATTAATGAGGGTGGATTCAAGCGACGTAAAGCCGAAGGATTTAATGACAAGGTTTCCAAAGTTCTGCGTACCCCCATTCGGAATCTGAGTTAGAATGGCGATGGCGAAGAGATGCCATGTTTTCGGATCCTGGATGCATTCAACTGCCTGCTCCCATTTCCAGTTTGTTTTCTCGGTGCGTCCTGTTCCGGCTATCACGGCACGATGGGCCATGAATTCGCGTTCCTGGGGCGTTAGGAACGTGGCTTTTGATATGCTATCTGGTAGAAAGGCGAGTAGTACGAATCCCCATAGGAAGGTGGCAACGCCCAGGATGATGAACATCCACATCCATGGATGTAGAGGGTGCTCGATATGTCCTATGCCGTAGGCTAGGAGACTGGCGACAAGACCCCCGATGGAGTTGCCTGAGAACCAGATGCCGGTTCGGAAGGGGATCTCGTCGCGTGTGTACCATGTTGTCGTGATGAACATGAACGCAGGGGTGATGGTTGCTTCTGCGATGCCTAGGAGGAATCGGACTGCAAGCAGGCCGCCGTAGTTGACGCAGGCTGCGGTTAGGGCGACCACAGCACCCCAAAAGAGGGTGTTGGCTGCCATGTATTTTGCGACAGGGAGTCGGGGGATGAGATAGTTTGTGGGAACTTCCCAGAAGAAATAACCGAAGTAGAAGATGCTGGATACCCAGCTGTATTGTTGTCCGACCAGGTGCTGGGTGCGGTTAGTTTCGGATGATTTGTGGTCGATAGGGTTATAGATAGTGTGCTTACTGTGTCGTCAATGAGGCCGAAGACGGACGCGCTTGATAGAATGGTTTTATCCATGAAATTGAACATATATGTAATGAACAAGAGAGGAATAAGTCGCATATCGACTTTGCGCAATGCTCTGGAGGCAATGGCCTGGGCGTTATCATCGTGATCGCTTTCGTCTATGATTCGATCTGTCGAGGCCATGGTGAGTCTTTTAGTTATTCCCTGTTCTAGTATTTTGGAATATTTTTTATTTTATGATAATGTGCAAAAAACCAGATGGGGAGGTAGCATTTTTATAGAGCTACTGCTTCAAAGGAATAAAGGGAGGGGGAATGCCTCTTGAGTCCTTATCATGAGTTATCTGATGTGCAGCTGATAAGCCTGAGATGTCAGTAAATTAACCCATTGGAATGCAGGTAATTAGTGTCATATAGACTTCGTATTTCTACACGTAACAGTCCTCTATAATTAAGTGTTACCTTGAACAAAATAATTATGCGTAATATGGTTAGCGATGTGACATAGACGAGTAGCATATCTAATCTATACCTTCCCAGATACTGATACCTGCTACTCTTTAAGACATAGGTTCACTATTCAGCTGTGGGTAGTGAAATGGTACCACGTCGAAATGTGATATGGTTAATTAGACGTCTCCAAGTGACAGTGTCTTTAGCATTGAGATACTCGAAACTGAATTTAGCTTTCACAGGGGAAATTAAATCTAACGATGTTCATTTGATAATCTGACATACTTTCTTCCCCTCAACTGTCTGGATGGTTTTTCTCAGGACTACAGCGGCTTCGACCTCGACCTCGCCCGAGGATTACACAAGCGCTCGAGATCACAGAAATAAACGGCAATAATAGTATGCCAGATCATTGCTACCCATGTAATACTAGTTTGTCCACCTCACATTTGAGAGTTTGCTTGATCTGCTCGATCATGTTGGCCTCCACGATCCCTTCTTGCCAGGTGAACCCCAACGCCAATAGCCCATCCCGTCCGGTAACGGCACTGACCTTGATTGCAGCGCTGCACGCGCTAGCACTCTGACTGAACAATATACTTTCGATTTCAAAGCTCAGTTTTCTTGAGGCGGGAACTTTCCCAATATTAGACAGCTCGAAGGCACTCATCCTTCTTCGACCAAGCTTTTGTAGCATCCAGGCATGTTGATCTGGAATATGGCCCAGATATCCGACTGGCATATCACTTGCTCCCTTTGCCAGTTCTTGGTCAATAATTGTCTTTGTGTGGCGGGCTTCTGTCCAGTTAAAAGATACCATTCTACCGTATGTCATGGATAATGAACCGACGTAGCAGCCTAAGGAAGTAGCTCTGATAGGCTCGGGGAGGAATCTTCGCAATGATACTGCACAGTCAGCCTGCAGTGTACGGTATCTGGACGGAAGGGCCGAAAATATGCTCGATGCAATCAATGTTTGGAGCGCTGCTGTTACAGAGGTCTGTTCTTTCTTACTCATAGCCGCTAGTCCCATAGTTTCAGCTGTGGATAACAGCAATGATGAAAAGCGAGTTCTAACAGGTGTCGACTGAGGTACAGCCGTCCAGCTATCGGGAGGAGGTTCCTGATGGGCATTCTGAGATTCCAGGAACTCCTGGGATACTGTGAGCGTATACAAGTCTTCCAGTGGAGGTAGGAGCGAGGCAGAAGGAGTATCAATAGTATCATCGGGTTCGTATCTCGCATCTTGAGACATAAGCCCCTCTAACTCCTCGTGGACGGAAAGAGCGCTCTGTGTGTCCATCAACGAATGATGGACTATGAGCATGAGGGTGAAATGTGTGGGGGTTTTGCTGTATTCAAGGACGCAGATTCTCCAGAATGGAAGGGTTGGGTCCTTGAAAGGACGATTATGTTGCTCCTCAAGCACATTGTCGAGGTACTCCCTCCCATCCGAGCTCAAACTGTTACCATAGTCTTCAACGAATGCCACAACCTTGCTGAGTGTGATATATGGAAGACGGACAAAATACGGACTCGTTGTATCGGCAGCTATGGGGATGGCAGAAAGTATCGGATGCTTCCAGATCATTTGTGACAGAGCGCGAAAGAGAGCCGGTTTAACAGCCACTCCCCTTGGTCTCTTGTAGCGTGCCGTTAGTCCCACATTGAGATAGATTCCCAGATGACTCCGTGTCGTTGAATACTTCTCTGCATGCCCTTAAAGATTGTCAGAAAAATTTCTGGTTAAGCGAGCAAAGAATCTTACCGAGCTGTCGCAATGCCGTGGTACCTGTTTCCGATTCCATGGATATAAACTGAAATAGTAATTTATTTTTGAGTAGGAGTAGCCGTTGCAGGAAATATTTGAAAAACCGGGGTAGTTCTTTATACAGCTGCCTGCTAGAATTTGGCCAATGATTCCGACTCTCCCGCTTCTCAGAGTCCAGATGGTAGGCCCGATTGTCTCAGACTTTACAAGAAGCAGTAACTGGTACTTGACCAGAAATCCTAGGGCATATAAGGTAACAAATGCACTCTCTGATATAAAGTATTGGCCTGCGATGGATTGTTGTGTTCGGCATACTGTCCAAAGTCGGCTTTCCATCCCGGGTGCATGTACCCGGTGAAAGAAGTACCTAATATGCCTAGAGCCTTGAAAATTATATCTTGTTGATCGCTATATAAGTACAAAATATAGCTGGGAAGACAGAGAATATGCCAACAAATTAAACATTCTCGAATTTGCTTTAGACAGCCGTTTAGATGCATCTATAATTCTGTCTGTTCGATACAAATATCTATCTCTTGCAGTTGTACGACCGGCATCACAGACCGGACCAGATCCGTGCCTCTGCAGATAAATCTGCGTACACACATAATAAATCTTGTATATGCAGTAGCCTTGAACTATGCGAACTACTAGTACTCTGTGGGATTATCCTCAAGTGGCAAAGTAGGTATCAAGGGAAGAAAGTGAAGTATAGAGGAATGATGGAAGGTCGTATGAGTAACTGAAAATAAAGTACGAGTGACGCTTGGTAGTGAATATAAAGCTATACAGTAGTGGTACTCTTGGATCCCTAAAAGGAAAAGGTATTGCACTAATAAGCTTTAGAAGAGGACAGAAGTTGTTAACAGTAGATAGACGTTGAAGCTAGTTTCATGCGACAGGAGGCAGATCAGAATAAATGCACCTAATGAACTCTATAAGAGAACCTTTATACAAGAGGTGTCATGTCCTGGCATCTTTACATAAAGCATATTCTCATCTCATGAACTTTCATGGCGCTGAATAAAAGCAATGAGAGTTTTCGCAAGCTTTTCAGGTTGATCCTCTGGTGAGAAATGCCCGCAGTCTTCAAGTATATCTAGCTCAGCGCCCGGAATCGCGTTCTTAAGTTTATGAGCCCAGTTCACCACTTGCCAGGCATCATCTGCCCCCCACACCAGATTGACAGGCATCCTTCCGAGTTCGTGAAGTCGATTGGCAATTTCCATTGTATGCTTCGGGTAGTAATGTCGCACTTGGTGTTGGAACAGGCTGCCCTGACCTATGGGCCCGGAGATATACTCCAAGAATGTATTGAGGCTTGTGTCCGTGAAAGACTTCTTATCATACACTGCTGAAAGTAGCCACTCCTTGAAATGCGAACGGTGATCGTCATCGGCAGTATCACACAGCGCTTGAAGTCCAGTAGCCATCTGCTCCCTGGTTCGTTTAGAAGGGTAGCTATCGAAGCTAACGACATCGACAAGTGTTAACGACCGTAGTCGGTGAGGGTTGAAGACCCCAAAGCGCTGGGCGATACCGCCCCCAATATCATGGGCCACTAAGTGAAAGGTTTCAAGTCCCCAATGATCGAGTAAGCCTTCAAGCATTGGAACTTGGCCTGTCATTGACGTGTCAATGCGCGGATCCCATGGACGTTCTGACATTCCGTAACCTAGTTGGTCGAACACATGGACCTTGAAGCCAGCTGTTGTGAGCTGCGGGACGACATTGCGCCAGATGAGTGATGATGAAGGTGTTCCATGAATGAGGACAACCGGCTGTCCAGTGCCGTATATCCCATAAGCAATTCGGCTTCCGTTGATGAGGACGTTCTCACTGACTATAGGCTGCATGATGAAAGTGATAGGATTCTATAATCGAAGCGATTATTTCCCAAGATCTTGCCTGAGACTTGTGACATGCTTATATGTGGTGGCTAGGCTAGGGTTATTATCCGGGCCTACTCCGGCTGGGCGAAATTTGACGTCATGTTTGAGCGTAGTTCTACATATGATTGATAAGCAGAAGCGGGAAAGCACCTGTGTAGTATCTATCTCAGTCAACCGCTCCTTTATGGGGTGGAGGTGAACAACCCCGAGTGAAGCCATTAGCCGTGCGTCATTCATTTTGCCGGGATGGGATTAGACACCAAAACATTATACACTGTGGAAGGAAACTATAGCATACACGAGATACATGACGATATATTTGTACCGGCCTGTCTAGACCCGCATGCGCTAGAGGAGCCACACTTGCCTTTGACAATATGTACATCACGTTAGGGTTTCCTTTAGAAGGGACGTAAGTCTCCATTGTCTAATCTAGACAAGGGCAAGTAGCAACAAGATGGTACTCAATCGTGGACCGTAATTCCTTTAAACCCGTAGTTCAGTTTCCAACGCATCTGCCATCTCCCCCAATGTATTGAACTTCCAATCATAAACATGTTCATCTAGATTTCCCATAATCGACCCGGGTCTCACTATCCAGCTCGAGCGGATACCCATGCTCCTCGCCGCATGATGATCATTAAATTGGCTCTGTGCTGTCTGGATAATCTCTTTTCTCTGGATGCCGAACCTTTGCTTACATTCTCGCAGCATATACTCGAAGTTTCTCGGATCAGGCTTATAACTACCCACTTCCTCAGCCGTAATCACCAGGTCAAAATCGAAATTCTCCAAGGGACCAGCCAGTGAGCCTTTGAATGAATCCAAATCCACATTGGACAGGCACACAAGCTTGAAATGCTTTTTCAGTCGCTTCAGCGCATCCACTGTATCTGGGAACGCTGGCCAGTTGCGCACAGAGTTGCCGAAAGCAGCGCTCTGCTCGAGTGTCGGCGCGGGCAGACCCAACCGAGCAGCCATCTGTGGGTAAATAGTGGCGACAAGGTCGGCATATCTCATTTGGGGTGTCTTGATTTGTTGAATACGCTCGCACTCGTAATAGGCATCCAGGATTTGGGTGCGGGTTAGATGAATGCCGCTCACGTCCATGAGGGGCTTAAATCCGTTCAATGTCCCGGTTTCCCAGTCAATTAGGGTACCGTAGACGTCAAATGAGAGGAGGCGGTAGTCTGTTAGACGAGGCATGGCTTTTCCAGGAACTAAGTGTTTGTTGAATAGATGGGACGATTTGCGTTGCTTGAATGGCACAAGTCTTAGCTCTCGGAAGGGTATAAGCTAGTATATATAACGCGGTTGCGAAGTAATGTATCGTTCCAACAGACTCCCCGCATCGGGTTTCCCGCTAACTTGGAATCCCCCATGAAGCTTTGCCCGGTTGTTTGTATGCGATATCATCGGGAGTTGTTATCGGGTCGATGCTCCGCTGGCAGACATCCGGTTCCTGCCCGGGTGTATGCTTCCGGGCCCACTCTATCCCTCTGAGCCCTGAACTGGCATGAGCAGGGCTCATAATGCCAATACGACGACCATGGCCCAGATTACGTATGGGCCCTTGGTTCTCACAATGCCCACTCTATCTAATAGTCCGACAGTGTTTGTCTTCTGCTAACCGGTACGCGGCTGGGCAAAGCTATCCATCCGATTATGGGGTCAAGGTCATATGGTTCTTCCATAAGTCCGTTCTCAGAATGAAATATGAAAGAGAGACACAAGTAATCAGTGTCCAACTCCCACTCGGACTTTTCTTTTGTGGTTGCTTTTAATCACCACTTCCACATGGTATGAAGCCCGTCTGCCCAATGGCCACCCCTAAAACATCACCAGTCTCCAACCCTGTTTCAAGTTTCTGGAACGCGTATCCTAAAAGCTTGACAATTACAGAAGTACCTCGGAGTTCCCACTTACAGTTGATGTCGTAATCATTGGCTCGGGTCCTCAGGTGTTGCAACCACATATTTCCTTCTGAATACCAACCCCAGCCCGCCATCAATCGTCCTGCTCGAGGCCAGAAGTATATGCTCCGGGGCGACCGGACGCAATGGGGGTCACGTAAAGCCCGATACATATTCCGTCATACCAAAATTTGCAAAGTTGTTTGGTATAGAGGCAACAGCGCAGTTGGCTGACTTTGAAGCAAAGCATGTATACGCAGTCAATGACCTGGTCGAAAAGGAGCAGTCAATTGCGACTTCCATCTCACCAGGGCACTAGATGTGTACCTTGATGCGCAGCATGCAAAGGAGATAGAGACCAGCTACAAGGAACTGTCAAGGACTGGAAAAGTAAACTTGACAGACGTCGCGTTTGTATCGAACGAAGATGCTGAAAGGGTATGTCACCTCCTCGCTTTCAAACTGAAGATACAGTGTAACTGATAAGCGGGCGATAGAGAGAGAGAGAGAGAGAGAGAGATGTGCATTATACCCGAATACAGCTCCCAGCTTTGGGGCTCTTCTCGGGTCGCCGACAGTCAGTTAGCCAGCCGGTAAGACTAACTTAGGTATATACAGGATTATTCTAGCTAGATAGTAATAATAATATAACTATCTTCGTACAGTCTTAAAATATTTAGTTCCCTTTCTCTGATTTCTTTCCTCGTTCCGTCCCTCTAGCTCAACCAAATAGCTTATATCGACAATTGTGTCTGAAAGTACGCGTACACACCTAGACAGCGTAGATTGGGAATACCAGAGGGATCTGAAAATAGCGGTGATTACAGCCGGCTGCTTCCCCTAGTCCGTCGTCTCACCCTACCGCTGGTAAGATTAATCCGCTGCCACCGGCGTCAGAGTCGCTGCTGTCCCCATTGTCGCGTAGTCGTAGAGGCGCCAGATAGGCCAGGCGTTTTGTTTATACTAGAAACCGGGCGGTGCGCAGCGCATACTTTAAATCACCTAGTGCCTCATCGAGATTCCTCGGGCAAAATTGGGAATCACCCCATATCTCAGTACGGATTTATCATTTTATATGTACAGTTATCTCGGACTCTTGAATGCTAGAGTAGACATAGTGAGACCAGCATATCCGATTTCTAACGTTTCATAAAACACCGAGCTCAACCATGTAGTAACTGGATGGGTGATAAATAAAATCGGAGCTGTAGCCGGTATCACCGGCAAGATATCCGACTTTCTGCAGGGTATTGATTTATAATCATTGCACAGGGTTGTGGAACCAAACCCCAGCGATTCTTATATTAGGTATTCAGTCTCAGTGCCGTCACAATATATTCAACCAGCCCATTCTTCATATCGGCATGAGGAGATTACGCCGTGTCGCGGATAAAGATCGGAAACGCGTCGCTCGGGCGTGTGTTGCATTCCGCTCATATAAATTCACAGTCAAAACTGACCGTCTGCAGATGTGATAGCTGTCGCCAACATAAAGAGAAGTGTGATGGGGGTCTGCCTTGCAGGCGATGCGCTCGACTTCACCGTCAATGCATATTCACAGGTCGAGGTCCTGATGAGCGACGGAAAGTCTCCACACTGCCAGATATGCCTTGGTGAGCTATCTATCAATCAGCTAGGGTTACTAGGATGTACTACTAATACTGCCAACTCGAAGCACGTCGGGTTCCGAGCCTGAACCGATACCAGAGCTACTGGAGAGAGTTACCTATCTAGAGCGGATTGTCAAGCGGAAATTCGGCGATATAAGTCTAGATCTGGCCACGCTGCGAAGCCTAGCCGAGGATGAAGACAAGACTCCGTTGTCTACCTCCCCTGAGTCTCCTGTAGCAGATGTCAAGTGTAGCATCGAGCCACTGGACAACAATATCACGCGTGAGGGGATACACAAGAGATCGTCTAGAAATCACAACTAACGTTGACCGAGCTAGACTATTCGGGGGAATTCTCTCATTGGAATTTCTCCATGAAAATAAAGGAATGGATCAGCCAACATGTGCCTCGAGACGTTTGTCACACACCATTCGTCAATTCTTCGCAAGTTGATTTTGACCAAGGTCATTACTAAAGTATCTGCAGAAGGTTTACCATGCATTACGCAGTCACACTGAGTTTTACCGCTCCAAAGAACTCCAGTCTCCATCAAGTGCTTTCCTCTCTGTGTCCTCACTACCTCCTCGGGCTATTGCCAATTTTCTTGTCCATTGCTTCTTCAAGCATGCTGAGACAATTTACTTTACTGTTGAAAGGACCTGGCTAGAGTCAAAGCTTGACATGGTATATACTGATCCCAACTCTCTCACTCACAGCGATGTAAGCACCATGTGCGTGATCTTTAGTGCCCTTGCAGTCGGGACACAGTATACATATCTCGAGTCGACGACAGAACGCATCGGTACCAGGAGATCAACTCAGAATAGCCCATTTACCGGCGATACTGTAGGTGTGATGCTTTATCACCAGGCCTGCCTTCTATTACCTGATGTCATCACCCTCTCGTCACTAGAAAGCGTTCAGGCTTGCCTGCTTCTGGGTATTTACACACTACCGCTTGACGCATCTGGATTGGCATGGATCTACCTGGGTATTGGCGTCAAGCTTGCGATCCAGAATGGTATGCACAGAAAGGGTTGCGAGGACAGCTTTGACCTGTCCATCCGCGAAACCAGGAATTTAGTGTGGTGGACTTTGTACACTCTGGAGAGGTCTGTTTCACCTTTGCTCTCCTATTCTTTGTTGTCGTGGCTGGTGCCGACACTAGGTATTAGGCGCATCGCCATATTTCATGGTCGTCCATTTTCCATTGCCAGATCAGATGTAGACATTGAACTCCCTGTCGCTAAAAGTGATGTACGGCCATCACCCCATACGGCGTGCATTCTTGCCACGCTCCAACTGAACGAAAGGCTCTGCAGCATATCGCATTCAATGTATCTTTGCACACCGGCTGTTCTATAGGGAGAACCACTGACGGATTAATAGCTCCCTTCTCCATACATCTCCAACAAGCGAAGTAGCTGAACGACTTACTAGACTATTCAATCTCCAGCAAGACCTTACCAACTGGTGGGAAATGCTTCCCAACAACGAGATTCCCAGTGATCACTCATCTCACCCCGAGAACCTCCGCCGCGCCATGCAGCTAAAACTGGAATATTGTCTCGGAATCATATTCGCAGGCCGATACTTTATCCTTTCCGAGCCCTGCTCGGAAGGAAACAAGCCAACGTCCGCCACAAATATCCAGAACGCGAGTCCCTCCGGGAGCAACTCACAAACACGCCATATGTCTTCTATCCTCGTCTCAGAGTGTGTTTCCGCTGCGCATACAGTCATAGAAACATGTCGCTACCTGTACAACACTATTGGCCTCGCCCGTGCATCATATACGGAGTTTAGTGCATGCCGTGCCGCGTTGTTAGTCATTACTACACAATGTCTCCAAGCAACTGACTACAGGCAACGTCACACCCTCCGCGAGGGGCTAGCGATGTTGAAAGAAATGGCAGGTGAAGCGGAGCTAGCCCGCACTGAAGTATCTTTGATCGTGGGGTTCCAACATATAATCGCCAGTATGGATAGAGTCGGTGATGATGTGGTCGGTCACAGAGCTTCTGACTTTTCGAGATTTAAAAAATGGGAAAGTTCGTGGAGGCAAGGCTCATTCTTCGCGGAATTTCCCAGGCCAGATGATTCGATGCTCATGGCTTCCCTTGATTTATCAAGTGGGTCCCATGCTGCATCGTCTAGCGAATTGCCGTTATGGACGTCGCTGCTTGGGTCCGATCGAAATGTGCCATCTTGCACACAGGATCAGGATAACTGGGCTGTATTATGACGCAATTTGGCGTGTTGGAGATTGTAAATAAGGACCAGGCTAATGAGGTTTATGTGCCTGTAATTCAATGCTAGTAGCTCAATTCATCCAATACTATCATTACTCGGCACAATTTGGTTGGTGGAGGATATCTTCAAAGAGCAGAATGAACGGTTTCTTAGAGATAGGATACCAGACAGGCGGCTAAATCTCGCTTTCGTGTTCTTATTAAAGTACGAACGAACCTTGTCTCCCGAGGCCTGGCTTCTGTACACCTAAACGGGGCAGACTCTAATTCCTACCCGAAACACAGCTGTTCATCGTCTGCTAGCCTATGAGCCGGTGGGTGTTCCGTGGCAGTCTCGCAATGGTTGCGACCAGTGTAAGAAGAGGAGGGTAAAGGTAGGCTTCTCTCGCCCTGTGACCTATCTTCCTAAACATTGTCATCTGGTTGGTGCGATGCTTACCATACCCGCGGCCTATCACTGCAGTGCAGCGAGGATCACCCTTGCCTCAATTGCTCGAAGTGTGAGATGACTTGTACCTACCACGCGCATACCAGGGCTGCTCCTGGAAACCGACGAAGCGGTACAGGTTCAGGCTCCGGTGTGGGAACTGGTCACCAGTTACATAGCTCCCCCAGTTCACCTTCCTTCGACAGAGACGCCGGCAGTATTTCTTATGAAAAGTCCACAGGGGCAGTCTTCTCCCAGGAATGGGCTTCTCAGGACCCGTTGCTAATGCATCATTTTACACTATACACCTCCAAGACACTGGCTAAGCGAAAGGATATGCAAGATGCATGGCAGATTGCGTTTCCTAGAATCGCGTACTCGTATGAGTTTCTGATGCACGGCATTCTTGCGTTGTCCGTGTTTCATCTCGCCCATCTGACGCCCGAGCGATACAGCTGTTATTCGACAAATTCTAGACTTCACATCTCCGTCGGCCTGCGCTGCTTCCGAAAGGTTATCCTAAACTCTACCGTCGATAATTGCTCCGCTTTATTTGCATTCTCAAGCTTAATCATGGTCTACATGTTTGCCACATTGTCAGAGTCTGCCGAGCTTAAAGCATCTGATGCTATTGCATCTATTCTTGAATTATTTAAGCTGTGCCGAGGAACCCTAACCCTTGCACCTTAGATTCATATGATAAATAGTAGCTCCCTCAGGCCGCTCTTCCGGCGGGAGTTTGGAATGATACAGTCAAGTGAAACGTGAGTTTGTCTCTCAGATTCACCCTCGTCAGAAAGTTCTATGGCTTTTATATATCCCACGGTTGATATTATCGTGCGGATAATGCAATTACAGCAACTCAAACTCACGGTCTAAGTAGGGAGCTCTCAGGTGGCTTGTTTGAAGGATTCGAAAAGCACCTCGACCGTCTCGGTCAGCCGACTGAGACAGACGTCTCAGGACCGGAACAGAAAATCGCTTGCTTACAGGCGCTTGAATGCCTGGGAAAGTCACTCAGGACTATCGAGAATTCGGAAAGGCCATTGGAATGTGGATTGATCTACATGTGACCTCTTACAGTGAACGAATCATTCATTGGCCTGCTTCGGGAACAGCACGGGGTTGCTCTTGTATTACTTGCCTTTTATTGTGTGCAACTTCACGCCTTTTCTGACTACTGGTTCGTTGGGCCAAAAGGTCACTCATTGCTTCTAAAAGCTACTGATGCTCTAGCCGGCCAATATGTGTCATGGCTTGAATGGCCTAAGGGTATCATATCACAAAGTACGTGATACTGAGGAAAGTATTCGGTTTTAGTAGATGATGGCGGAAGATTGTTTATCATTTATAATGGCTTTTTAGTGACCTAAGCTGGGTTCACAATAACCATATATCTAATGCTCGTGCTGAAAAGAGCCGAGCACTACTTCCCACTCCTCACCCTACCAAATCTGGAACATGAAAACGAAGAGCCTGGTCGTACGCTGTGATCATATGCATCAATCCTGACAAGGGAGCAAGCCATTCGGTCCAGCACATGACCCACGCATGTCAACTCAAGGCGGTTTCCCCCGGCTTGTCCGCAAAGTGAACAGAGAAGCTATATTGAATTTTCGCATGCAGAAGATAGGGAATTTGGGTATAGCAGAAGCAAGCGATGGTCCAGCTATGCCTACCCGGAACATAGGTGTGACCATGCCGGGTACGAATGATGTCCCTCCCTAGCTAAGGGAGCTTGGCGTCTAGTTGGAGAAACTCTGTCTGTTGACTTTAGAGAGGTTGAAAGTGTCCCAGTCTTTGCCGGATACACTCCCCTCACCTGATATTGGGTCATTTAATTATCTCTTAGTAGCATCAAGAGAGCGCTTCACTCGAATTATGAGCTCCGTGAAGCTCATTCTGAGAAATGTCCTACTTCTTTTCCTTGATTCTCCTTCCATACTCCTATGAAAAGAACTGAAATCGGGTAAGGGGAAGAACACAACCTGTTCATATAGAAAAGAGACTTGGCTAACTAGTGAAGACCATCTCACAGCTTGACAGGGAAGGCATCCATATGCTGCAGCTGAACCACAACCCCGTTCACAGAGTGTATTTGAAGAACGGAGACCTATCTCCCATTGCCAGTAACTGCTCATCAGTATAACTCTCACGGATCTCCATCTCAGTCAACCTAGTATTGCGCTTGTTGGCATACATAAAGGACAACTCAAGAACAACAGCTACAAGAAGAGCCGATCCACCAAAAGCCAAGGACAGCCCAAAACCCGTAGGATAGGTCGGGGCCTCCTTATCAAGATACATATAGCTACCGATAATGCCTCCGGTGTTGCCCATGCAGATGTTGAACGCACTGCCGATCGCACGGCGCTTTGAGGGCGCCAGGTTGTTCATTGCCCACGATGCTGTGGCTGGGTAGGTTGGGTAGATACCCATACAAGCCACGATGATTGCAAAATACCCAGGCCCGATGTTGGCTTCCAGCCGTCCCTTGAGGCCCATTATAATCGCGTACCCCATGATGATGAGGAGTAGGGGTGCTGCAACGAATGGCATGCGCCAGTAATATCGGTCTGACAGTTTGGAGAACAGGACTGCGGATATGGCGCCGGCAATATACGGCGGAACGGTCATCAGCTGCGCGTTGGTACTGGTGAAGCCCATTGCCTTTGTAATGGTTGGAAGAGTGAATTTCGTTCCTGACAGAAAATGGATCAACAAGAAGTCTCAATCCTAGGTGATCGCAAACAGACCGTAGTTGCAGGCAGACTGGCACAGCATAATATAGGACAGCAGATAAATCCTCCAGTTCAGCATCATGTCCCCGACGTCTTTCCACGATGTCTTCGTATTCTCCTCCTTGAACTGCCCTCCTTCTTTGATGAATTCCTGTATCACTAGGTACCGGATCTCGTCCTGATCAAGCCATTTGGTAGATAGTTGCGGGGAGTCTACCAGCAAAAAGAAGGTCAAACCCCCCAAAGCAACGGTAACCAAACCCTCAATTATAAATATCCACCGCCAGCCCGAATATCCACCGAGGCCATCCATCTTGCTAAGACCAGCCGCGAGAAGACCGGAAAAGGCGCCAGAAAGAGCACTTGCACAGAAGAATGCGGCAACCCGGGTGGCGAGGTCTCTAGGCATATACCAGCGCGAACACAGGTAGACAGAACCAGGAAAGAATCCGGCCCTGGGCTTGAGTCAGAAGACGAGATCTTTTAAAAAATCGGTGTCTAATTGGACATACTCGAAGATTCCTAACAAAATTCGCATTGTCAATAACCCGCCGAAAGTTCGGACGACGCCAGTCAACGTCATGATAATTCCCCAGCTGACGATCAAGGTACCCAAATAGACCGAGGGCTTGGTGAAATGTTTTAGCAGAATATTGCTCGGGACCTCTAATATCGATCAGCGACACGGAGATGACATGCCCTACCACCTGCTCACCTAGTAAAACGTAGGGAATGAAAAACAGGCTAAGAGCAATGTTATACTGCAAACCGCTCAAGCCCAATTCTTCTGTTAGCCCCAGGATCTTGGCATTGCCGATATTGGCCCTGTCTAGGTGAGAGATCAAGTAGAGGATGCACAGCATCGGCACCAGCCTGATATCGACCTACGATACAAGCATTGTTAGCTCCGTTCTGATCAGTGTGGTCATTGGGCCGTGCCTTTCGTAGTAGCTTTTCCCTTCTGTCGGAGAAGTTGCGATAGAAGTCTGCATCCTCGGCGCGAAGACCAAGGACCTGGATACCGTCAATGGTGGTGATGATGGCGCAGTCCTCGACGTTCTCGGCGCTGGGAGCCTTCTCGTCGACCAAGTCATCCTTACATGCGTGTCCTAGGTTTACTGTGGACATGGTGGCGTCGATTTGACTTGCAGATTCACGCACGCGGAAAATGCATGAATGGTCACATCGTAGCTGGGGGTGGTTTTGTTGCTGCTATTTATTCCGAACAACGCAGGAATCCCAAGGGACCATCCTGGAGGGCCGAGCTTGACCAGCTTTTAGCTAGCTTTCTAATTTAGCTCTTGAGACAAGCTGGACGGAGTGCAAAACCCTAGCGCTTCCCCGCACGGCCATTCTATGCCCATTTCTCACGGGGGTTTACACGCCGCTCTGACGCCTACGGAGCCCCACGGGGCCTAGCAAATGCCTCTGTGGACAGCGGGACGCTACCTCCCGCTCATAGGTAAGCCACGGTTGTTGTGGTAAGATGGCTTTTCGCTGATACACAGATGGATCAGAGAAAACTCGAGAATTGCACGGGTATGCATATAGCCGATGGAAGCAATGAGAAGCCTATAAATTGGATTAAGATCGGAGATAAATAGTGGCAGCAATAGGATTCCAACTTCATCAAAAAAAAACCCTGTTCTCTCTTGCCCCCTCCCTTCAGATGAGATTGCGCTTCAACGAACTCAACATGACCGAATCCAGAATTTTAACCCGGCTCTCACTCCTTGATACCAATGCAGTCTCTGATGCCCTGGACTTTCTTCAACTCAAAGGAGCCACCTACGGCCTCCGGCCCCTCTGGGATTGCCCAAAGATCGTTGGCCTCGCCAGCACAGTGAAAGTCGGTCCTAAGACAGACACCGCCCCGACAGCCCACCCCTTCGTGCCGGTTATAGACGCAGTCACCACGGACGACCGCATCCTCATTATCGCCGGCGGTCTAGAGGGTGTTTCCTGCTGGGGCGATATCATCGCCAATGCCTCGAAAGTAAAGGGCATCCGCGGGACAATCATTGACGGGGTGTGTCGGGACATTGATGGTAGCCGCGACATTGGATATCCCGTTTACGGCCGGAATGTAACAATGATCAGCGGGCGTAAGAGGATGGTACAGGTTGGGGCCGGTATAGCAGTCCAGGTTGGTGGTGTCACCGTTCGCCAGGATGACTATGTGATTGCCGATAACTGTGGGACTGTGTTTATCCCAGCGGAGTATATTCAAACTATTCTGGAACTGGCTGAGAAGATCACCCATCGTGAGAACCTTATGATCGAGGATGTGAAAGCTGGGATACCTGTCTCGGAGGTCATGCACGACACCAAATTTCAAGCCATGAGTGAAGAGATCGCGTCGGCAGCTGCGGGTGTTTTGTCCTCTGCGCAAAAACCTTAACGAGAGGAGATGGAGCGATAGTTATCACCATGTATTGATAATGGATTTAGATTTGCAAATTCTATACACATTTTGACATGAGCCATAAAGGCTTCTGTTGTATTGACTTCAAAACTGTTGCTCTAACGGTGACGGAGTGAAGGACTCCTACTACTATATCCTAGTTGATTAGACCGACTTACATAGTAAAAAGGTCCGCTATATTATCTACTAATTAGTATATTTACTGCCTTTATAATGCCGTACTTGACTGCTTTTTTAAAAAAAAAAAAAAAAAAAAAAAAACTTAAACTTGATGATGACTACTGCTAACTTTAGGCACCATGGTCCCTAATTTCTAAGCTTATAATATCCACCTAATAATTTTAGGTGCTGTAATCCCGGACCCCTCTATGTATATTTATTATTAGTCTTAGAGTATCAGATCTTTAATCTAGCTATAAGCTTTATTTTTAATTGAAAATTAATATATCATAGCATTGACTCAATAGGATATCTTATAGAGTTGTGGCTTAATGTAAATCCGGAACCTGGATAGTCGATATTCCACGCGGCGTTCATTGTGTAGAAGACAATGCGGGGTAGAACAAACAGCGGCCCTGGCTGGCGCTTTTGGCCCCTAGGCTCCCCACATTCCCCAGGCATGCTTGTAACCGGCCTCGTTGACTACAGTCTCATGACCACAATGCCGTTCCCCGACCGCAAGGTATTCAATGCCCCGAAAAACGCACACTCCTCCGCAACATGGTTCGCGCATGCGAATTCTGCCGCAGACGCAAGATCCGATGCGACGCTTCCAAGCCAGCCTGCTCCACATGCCGGAAGAGCAAGAGGTTGTGTGTCCACCACAATGGACCACCCAAGCAGCGCCCGTCCGCTGCGCTTATCGACTCGCTGCAGAGCGAAAAGGCGGTGCTGGAAGATACGCTGAACCGGCTGAAGAGCGCAGATGATGCCGAAAGGCGTGCTCTGCTGGACTCGATGATGGTGCGTGACGGCCGCATATTACTATCAGACCGAAGCGACGTATCAACAGCGCGATCACCGCAGCGGCGGCCTGCCTATCGCACGGAGCATGGCATGGAGCAGCAGCTGCAGGGCGGTCATGCCGCAATAATGAGGGAGGATGGCGGTGATGCGACAAATGGCGCGGATACTGACCATGGCGAGGACGGTGTTGAGCATGAAACCGATAAAGCGCTGTCTTTGACAACGGAAAGCCACGCAACCAGCGATGGCATCTTCAGCTCAACCTCCGTGGTCCATGTCAGCCGCCCGATAGCCAGTCCCGAGCAACCCGCAACATCTACAGAGTCGCTACGGTACCAGCTGATTGCCAACGCTGCAATAGAGAGGCAGCGCGAGCACCATCTGCGTCGGTTGACCTTCATCAGGGGAATACCGGCCGACCTGGCGCTTCATCTCCTCGATCTTCACTGGAGCAGGCAGCATCACACCTTCCTTCTCACGTATCGACCAGCCTTTATGCGAGAACTCGAACATGGGGGACCATACTGCTCCGACCTCTTGTTGTACGCTGTCTTTGCGTGTGCGTCCAAATTTTCCGAGCGGCCCGAGGTGCGCAGTAACCCGATAGACCCGGAAACAGCGGGACGGCGATTCTTCGACCGTTGCCACAAGCTCTTGCTAGGAGAGGGGTTGATGACCCAATCGAGCATACCGACTGTCATCGCGATGGTCATGCTCGGGTCGACGTTGATTGCGAGAGGCCTGACATCTCAGGGCTGGTTGTATACCGGTTATGCCATGCGTATGGTTTACGACCTCGGCCTGTATTTTGATTTGCAAGAGCCTAACAAGCATAATGTCGAGGAGATTGAGATCCGGCGGCGGGTTTTCTGGGGCGCGTTCGTCTGTGAGAAGCTGCAAAGCCTGTACCTTGGGCGGCCACCTACCATCAGACTCCAGGATGTACATGTGTCGCAGGACTTTATGGATACGTTCGAGGAGCTGGAGCCGTGGGAGCCCTACAATGAGCCGGGCACAGATGCAACTACTAACAATGTACCGTCTTCTACAGCGCCGTTGGCCTACTCGGTGACTACCTTCCAGCAGCTCTGTCTGCTTTCACAAATTATGACCCAGATCATTGACAAGATCTATTATGTGGGAGCGACCGCTTCAAAGACAATCCATCAGATAGAGGCCCTTGATGATGCCCTCATAGCCTGGTACCGCGGGCTGCCAGCTCACCTGGCTTTTGAACCCTGGGCGAAGGACCCCTTGGAGCCCCCGGTAAAAGTTGCGCCAAACCGCATCATCATTCTAACAACCTACCACTCGCTCATTGTCCTCTTACACCGGCCGTTTATCACAGCGCCCAGCAGCACAAGTAATCACAATTCTGTCGACACTATCGGCACCCCTGCTTTCTCCTGGAAGCGGTGTACAACAGCAGCACGGCATATCACCAGCCTCGCCCTCAGCTATCAATCCATATACCCGTTGCGCAAGTCCAGCTACTTGCTCAGTTATGCTGTGTACGTCGCGTGCACAGTCCACGTGCTCAACACTGCGTCGCTCTCAACCGGGAGCGACAGCAATGCACACGCAGAATCGTCCTTCCTACTCAGCGCAAGTCTGAAGTGCCTTGATGCATTGGCAGTCCCGAACTCAGGGGCTGCCGATACGGCGCTTATTATTCGCAAGCTAATGGCCGCCAAGGGCGTGCCGGAATCACCACGTGAGTGCCTCGATTATGTATTGCTGTAGATAAATCCCCAACTGACACTATGCTCTTTACGTTAGCCCCCTCGGAGGTCCAAGCATCGATGTCTCTCCGTAACCCCGACAATGGTTGGCACCTTCCCGATGACTCCCCGACGGATGATGATATTGGTCTGGTGCAACCCTTCCCGGATATTTTTATTCCCGGACAGGACCTGTTGTTCGGATTTATGAACGAGAACATGCCCCTTGCGGCATTTGATATGAATAATACAATTTTCTAATACGTAAATGAAGATAAAACCAGTAAACCAGAACCTATACGCCATCTTATTTATATAATGGGGGCTTGCATAAAGGAGCTCGTATTACAGCAACAAACCCGGCTCCTCCTTCACCACCTGCTCATAATATGGCTGAAAGGCTAGCCACATCTTATTTGCGTTACCACTCCTCCTATGCCCAAACTCCGCCTGCTCGTCTGGAATATACTTTTTCTCGAACCCCGGACACACAGCTGCATTCGCAAGCAGCTGCGCGTGGCAGCATCGATCCAACGTAATAAACAAGAACGCCGCCTCGTCAACCGTCCTCCCACAGGTAATCATGCCATGGTTCTGTAGAATCACGCTGCGGCAGGTTGGCCCTAGGGCTGCCGCGATCCGGTCTCCTTCCTCGGTCGTGAGCACCGTGCCGCCGTAGCGCGGATACACCGCGAGGTCGTTGTAAAATCGCAGCGCGTCTTGGTGGAGCATCTCGATCGGCCGGCCAAAGCAGCTAAAGGCCTTCCCGTAGACACTGTGCGCGTGGCACGCGGCATTGAGGTCCGGGTCGGGCGTGGTAGATGGCGCGGTGGATGGCGAATGCTGGGCCATTGATGGGGTTCTGCGCGCCGTCCGGGAGGACTTGGCCGGTCTCGACGACGAGGACAAGATCGCTGACGCGGATTTGGGAGAAGTGTATTGAGAGCGGGGTTGATCCAGAATAGGGATGGGTTGCCCGGGTCGCGTAGGGAGATGTGGCCTGCGACACCCTCGTTGAAGCCCTGTCTGGCGAAAACCCTGAAGGCGGCGGCCAGGTGCTGCTTCAGGTGTGTGCGGGTGTCGCTGATATTATTGAACGTTGGAGGGCTGCGGAGCTCGACTTTGCCATCTTTGTCGCCTAGAAAGTGCACGTCTTGCCGCCACGATGAGGTCAAATCCGGCGGGATAGATGGGGTTGCTCCTGGTCTCTCGGTTTTCAAGTTGGCCTGCGAGTGGTGAATGGGGTCTTCCATCACAGTGGCCGGTGACATGGTCGCTTTTTGGCGTAAATGATATTAGGGTCTCATTTCTGGATCGGTGCTTTCAGACTCCATTTTGATATAAACTGTTAGTTAGTATGGTATCCGTCTGTGTACGACTGCCTAAACCCCACAGCGGGGTGGAATGTGTAGTCATTTGCATCCTTCGACGGTGTAGATCGAGAGGAATCGGGGATTGGAGTTCCGTTATTCTTCGCGGAGTTGTATTCCCCGTCAATGTCATATCATTTGGATGGCACGGAGGGTGACGGCCCGTCGCAGTCCGTTCAAAGCCTCGAGTATACTCAGCTTTAGATTCCCAGTCACCCATTCCTAGCTCACCCACCCAAGGTCCGTCCCCTGGTAAAGAACCCCGACAACCACGGCCAGTTCGCATCCGCTCGTCGAATACCAGGGAGTGAAAGCACGCTGGGCCGCCGTGGTCCAAAAGTAAGCCTTCCATCACTATATGAATGCTAGTCTTTTAGACCCTATCAGCAAGGGGATCTTCGGCCGTAGGAGATCTTCTTAGCATGGTGGGTAAATGGTAAGATTCAATTCATGACCATGTCAAAGAATATCATGAGTACAGTCCGAGGACCTCATTACGTTGCATACTGAAGGAGTGCATAAAATTTATAAGATTTGACCTCCAATTATTATTTTATTATTAATACCACTAAACACATTTTATCGCTGCTTGTTCGACCTTGACCGTGGTAGCAGTGGCGAGGACGAGTGTTTTCTGAACCGACAAGTGAAAACTGGTAGAAGACGACTCTTGCTTGGGTCCCGGAGATCTTCGGAGGAGACCGAAATCTCAACTAGAGCCGAGACATTTGCCAATTGACAAGCTTCAGCAGGCCGAATGCAATACGCCAAGGATTTTTTTTTTTTAACTTGACCGAGCATGTTCTGATTACTATCTTCGTTATTTCATTGGCAGTCTTCTGGGCTCCTGCAAATCCTCCCACCGCCGCCCCTTGGCGCCAAGCGTCTCGATCAGCACAAATCCACATTCGTGGGCAATCGTTGGCTCCCGATTTGCTACGTTTGAGAGTAGACATGCATTCTTCTATAGTGAGCTGTGGAGAGTTTGTGGAAGGTACATCCTTTCTTGACTTGGTATCTTCGTCCGACTACTCAGTATGCACTATTCATTTCTGGCCAAGGCACCAAGTACCTGTGATGCCGGACATATTTGCATGCACAGCCGGCATTTTCCTTTCCCAGATGATGGCCACAGAGAACCCTAGAGTAATGATCTACAGTGACAAGAAGAGAAAGCCCATCAGTAACGAGGGTGCCTAAACACTTATCCAATGCTTGTGAGTTAGGGGTTGGACCTGTCTAGACGTAGAGGGAAAGATATAAAGACTCCTGTTATCTCCTTCAATGAAGACCAACAACGCTGGAAAGTCAGAGACAATCACTTTTCTTAGTTGACTTTTACCATTCTCCATCTTTCTACCATGCAGCTCAAGAATGCGATTCATCTCACCGTCTTTGGAAGCGCCATCCTAGCCCTTGCTCACCCCGGGCATCACGAGGAGCGCGACTCAGCACCTGTGATGGCATACAAGAGAGACGTCGGGCATGGACTGGCGAACTGTGCCAGCCAGCTAGAGGCCAGTGGTCTTCAAGCCCGTTCCGAAGCGCGCCGTAAAGCAACAGTCCAGCTACACCGTCGACAGTTGGTCACCCGCGACACCGATGCCGTGCTGAATAAATCACATCAGGCAACCCATGCCGTGTCGCCTTCTATGTCTCCTACTGAAATTTTCAAGGACACGACTCAGAAGGCTTGCATTCTCGGCCCAACTGCCGAGGGGGAAACCGGTCCATACTGGATCCCCGGCGAGCGAGTACGGTCTGAGATCCGCGAAGCGCAGCCCGGAGTCCCAGTTATTCTCGAACAGCAGTATATTGACGTCGAAACATGCAAGCCTATTCCGCGCCTCTATGCTGAACTCTGGGGCTGCAATGCCACTGGGGTTTACTCCGGCCTGGTTGCAGACGGTAATGGCAACTCCAATGACCTGAACAATCGGAACCGCACCTTTCTTCGTGGCATTCAGGAAACTGACATAGACGGTATTGTCACCTTCGATACTCTCTTCCCGGGCCACTATGATGGACGCACCACGCATTACCATAACATTGCCCATTTTGGTGCGAAACGTCTGCCAAACAACACCATTGCCGGTGGGACAGTAGGACACGTCGCTCAAATATTCTGGGACCAGGACCTCATCGACCAAGTCGAATCAACCTATCCGTACAGTACCAACAACATTCCCATCACACTTAACTCCGTGGATCGGGTCGTCAGCCAGGAGACGGAGAACAGTAACTCTGACCCCATGCTCAACTACGCATTCCTTGGAGACAACATCGAAGATGGAGTCTTTGCCTGGATCACCGTGGCTGTCAACCTCTCGGCCGTGCACTATCCATACTACACCAACGTTTACACGGCCGAAGGAGCGGTGGAGGTGGAAGGCACTTCGGATGGTGACCCTAGGGCTGTTGATGGCGGCCTTCCTCAGAGCTCTGCGGCATAGGTTTTTGTATCAAAGGGGACATATCTTCCAGTATATAGTCATTCCTTATTATAATGCAAGGATTTAACCTTAATAGAACATGAAGGCAAGTCTGCCTTCGTAATCGTATACTTCCCCCCATTCTAGAAAACCGAACTGGTCTTGCCACATCTGGTTTTTCCAGCCTCCTCTTGCAAACTAGCCTCTAGGGATTGGCGTTAGCTTTGGCTTAGAGGTAATCGAGGCTGCCTAGAATATTAGTTGGGTGTGAGAGGTGTAGCTAAGCGAGACCCTAATCATATCTGCATATGCTCACCCTCCTGGGAGCAGCAGCTTGAATGAAGCTATTTTCCAAACCAATCATTAAACATATGATAGACCAAATGCTTATATATCTACAACTCAGTTAACAAAGCGAACTGAAAGAACAAGTATGATACATGACGATAAAAACGTAACCACCTCCACTCCCCTATAACAGGTTTAGGCAGTATTGTTTTCAACTGGTATAACCCTGTATTAATGAGCATCAAACATTTGAAGGGAGCACAAGAGGGAAGAACGCCGTATGCACCTGTCCATCTTGTATGCATGAGCTGTAACCTTTCATCCACGTTGATCGCTTTTCAGACAGTCTGTCTAGATTATTTCATAGTTGAAGGCTCAACCAATAACCTGAATATCCAGGCCCATAGCCTGTGAACTCCAGCCAAATGAACCTCAAACAAAAGGCTGCGCAATTCCACCAAACGCCACAAGCACCAGCATTAATACATCCACGATATCCAAACGTACAGCCCCCACCCCATTCGATCCACTCAGGTCAAGTTTTCCATCTTCCGTTGCGCTTGCAGTCGGACTCGCAGTTCCCGTCGCCGTTGCATTCGCATTTGTATTACACCACACTTCTCCCACTGCAGAGCCCTTAATCAGACACTCCGCAAGGTCGCCAACGGTTTGGTTCTGCGCGAGACAGTAGTAGTCGCAGTCCGAGTAGGAGATGACATTGGCGGGCCCGCAGCAGTCCGTCATTAGGTTGTGGTAGGTACTGTTCATGGGCATGGCGCATGCAGCATCCCTGGTTGGGATTTCATAAAGCTTGGCGTGACACGATGATGATGATGATGCTGCTGCTGCTGCGGAGTTGGTTGTGGTGAACATCTTGAAGGGAATTATTGCGCTAGGCTTGGTAAAATGTAGAGTTGTGTGTGTTTATTTAATTGGATAATGAGCGGTGGCACGCTGAGGAGAAATTGTCTTCTGGTGACAGTCATTGAGGCTCAGTACATGGTCTTTCATCTGCTATATATATGCTCGGACCCGAGTAATAATAATTCATGCCGAAACTGAAAACTATGAATAGAGCGCTGGGTTCACAAATGGCACGGAAGTACAGGGAGTGAATTCAGTCCAGATAGACCGTATATTAGGCAAGCATGAGATAGAGTGACTGCCATGGTATGATTCGTAGTGCTTCTCCCCACCTCGTTTAGATGCCGGGTATAGTCTCTGTTGCATTTCAACTTCGTCATCTAGTGTGAGCGAATGGAACTGCAGTAACTAACATTCACCCCCAATCCGTGGATTGAGGATAGGTGCTATGTATCGTTGATTTACCGACACGATAGTTCAATGTCTAATCTATTTTCATATTTCCGCTTAACCATTCGCAGCAGCATACCTATCATTTTCGGCTGTGGGTAAACGGTGGCCCGGTATGGGCCCCAGTGCCTGCCTTTGATAAAACCCACTTCAGCATCTTAAGTCCGGGTTCGTCCGGCTTGCCGACGAGCGACTTTAGGCCGAGCTCATGTTACTGTCTCAGAAATGGCAACCACGGACTCATCCCGAATAGCCAGAATCCCGAAAGTGCTTCTTTATTTTTGGTGGAAGTGCTGCGGCGTTATGGCGGATAAAATCCCCACTGTGGATCTCCCCACAATGAGGGGACGTCGACGCGTCTTTGTGGTACGTAGTGCGATCTAAGTTTTTAACACTTTATTTCTATTGGGTTATCTTGCACTTTACCAAAGGAAAAATCTAGAAAAAGTGATGATGCGATTTTCTGATCAAGTTTCGGGCCAGATATGGACAGAGCTATTGGTGCTAGAAGCTGCATGTACGGTATATAAATAGCCCCAAATTAGCTAGCACATAGCCTTTTCGATGATGTCCATACGCCGAGCATAGTCCGAGTCCTTATGCAGTAAAATGGCTAAATCATCGCATAGAAAGAATTTTAGTATCCGAAGGCTATATTGATAACGGGATTTATTGTTCATGTTCCATGTACCATTTTCAAATGTACCTTGCCTTACTTCTATCCTTACCGAAATAGGTGCCGGCTACTCGTGATGCGACATGTCCCCTGTTGAATGGATAAAAGTTTGTACGATGCTGTTCCCTAGATCCATGGTAAATGAAAAATCTCAACTCTCGCTATAATTATTTTCAACTGCTTCAGAGGCTGTTGCCTGGAGGCGCTAGTCCCGCGGCTGTAGCTCTAACGCTGACCTGCCGGGCTTGCAGAGACCACAGTTATCGTAGACGACGTTATTTTTAGACCCTTGTGTATTTAGCAGGTCCACACTCAAAATACGGAGTAGAATCACAGCCTGAATAAATGATTTAAGAAACCGTTGTCCATCGTGGCTTTCTACCTTCATCCCTCGACGGGTCTGGTCTATTTTTACCTTCCTTTCTTGATAGCTTATATTGTCCTCACCTTTTGAAACAGGATTCAGTCCACTCCAGCGCTTCCTCCCCAAGCATCAAGATGGGTAGCAGGCGCCCCAGTATTCAAGCCAACACATCGTCCGACAGCGAGAGCAGCCACTGTCCCCCTTACCAGGAGGTGAGTATCGCTGGAAATATTTTCGACCAGCAACAATCCTCCTACCCGGAACACTCCTTCTACCCGGAAGGACAGGACGAGCAAGAGATATCGCTCCTAGAAAGGAACACCTCCAGTCATTACAGCTCGCCGTTCGCCGATTCCGTTGCTGAATCGGATTCACAGAAGCGTTATACGCTTCATGATCCCGGTCCGTCGATCTTTGGCGCCCCGGAATATGAGCCGGTTCAGTCGAGTGTAAAGAAGACCCGCTCAGGGCTGGAGCGGTATGGAACGAGGAAGATCAACCTGGTGAAGGGAGCTGTGCTGAGTGTCGACTATCCGGTTCCGAGTGCGATTCAGAACGCGATTCAGCCGGAGTATCGTGATGCAGAGGAGGGTTTCTCGGAGGAATTCACCCACTTGCGATGTGGGTTTACCCTAGAAAATTGGAAGAGTGGTTCAGCTGATTGATGATCTTAATTAGATACGGCGGCGACGTGTGACCCCGACGAGTTTACCCTGCGCAACGGATACAATCTTCGGCCTGCTATGTATAATCGGCATACCGAGTTACTGATTGCTGTTACTTATTATAACGAGGATAAGGTTCTGACTGCACGTACTCTACATGGAGTAATGCAGAATATTCGGGATATCGTTAAGTTAAAAAAGTCTGAGTTTTGGAATAAGGGAGGCCCAGCGTGGCAGAAGATTGTTGTCAGTTTGATCTTCGATGGCATTGAGCCTTGCGATAAGAATACCCTGGATGTGCTGGCCACAATCGGGGTCTACCAGGACGGTATCATGAAGAAAGATGTAGATGGCCGAGAGACCGTCGCACATGTGGTGAGTTGGTGATAACTCCGTTGATCAGGACTGGTCAGTTTGTTACAACTAGACACTGATAGCAGTAGTTCGAATACACGACCCAATTGTCAGTCACTGCTACTCAGCAATTAGTTCGACCTCACGATAACGAATCATCAAGCAACCTCCCGCCGGTTCAGTTTATATTCTGTCTAAAACAGAAGAACAGCAAAAAGATCAACTCGCATCGCTGGCTTCTCAACGCCTTCAGCCGGATACTAAATCCTGAGGTTATTGTCCTTCTAGACGCAGGCACAAAACCTGGCCCGAAATCTCTCCTTTCGCTGTGGGAGGCCTTCTATAATGACAAAACACTCGGTGGAGCGTGTGGTGAGATCCATGCAATGCTTGGCCCACGCTGGGGCAAGGTTATAAACCCCCTTGTTGCTGCCCAGAATTTCGAATATAAAATCTCCAATATCCTGGACAAGCCATTAGAAAGTGCTTTTGGCTATGTCAGTGTTCTGCCTGGTGCTTTCTCTGCCTACCGATATCGGGCTATTATGGGCCGGCCATTAGAGCAGTATTTTCATGGTGATCATACATTATCGAAACGCCTTGGTAAGAAGGGAATTGAAGGTATGAATATCTTCAAAAAAAATATGTTTTTAGCCGAGGACCGCATCTTGTGCTTTGAATTAGTAGCCAAGGCCGGGTTTAAATGGCATTTAAGCTATGTGAAGGCAGCGAAGGGCGAGACCGATGTCCCTGAGGGAGCTGCTGAGTTTGTCAGTCAGCGACGACGCTGGCTAAATGGATCGTTTGCGGCAAGCCTATACGCGATTATGCATTTTGGGCGTATTTATCGCAGTGGTCATAGTCTCATTCGATTATTTTTCTTGCATATTCAGATCCTTTACAATATCTGCCAGCTTATCATGACCTGGTTTTCTCTCGGTGCGTCCCCAACACCCACAGTTTGCTTGTTAGATAGGGCTTGATCCTAACATTTCAGACAGCGTCATACTGGCTGACAAGCTCGGTGATCATGGACCTAGTCGGTACCCCGAGCAGCCACAACAAGGAAAAAGGCTGGCCCTGGGGTAATGAGGCTTCCCCGATAGTCAACACCTTTCTTAAATACGGGTATCTCTGGGTACTGATGCTGCAGTTCATGCTAGCCCTGGGTAACCGACCAAAAGGGTTCGTGCTCCTTCGTATAATATGATTGTCCGCAGCTTACAAAGTAATAGTGTTGTCACCCTCTACACGGTGTCCTTCTTTTATTTCTCTCTCGTGCAGCTCTATGTTCTCATCCTCTCCTTCTACCTGGTCGTTAATGTCTTTACCGGCGGTATGCTGGACTTCACTTTCAATGAGGGTGTTTCTGCCTTCATAAAGTCCTTCTTCAGCTCCTCTGGTGGTGGTATCGTGCTTATTGCACTAGTATCCACATACGGGATTTATATTATTGCGAGTATTCTCTACCTTGATCCTTGGCATATCCTCACCAGTTCATGGGCGTATTTCCTTGGCATGACGACAAGCATTAATGTGCTCATGGTCTACGCTTTTTGCAATTGGCACGATGTCTCCTGGGGCACAAAAGGATCTGACAAAGTAGATGCCTTACCGTCTGCAACGACTCAGAAGGACAACGAGAAGACGAATTTTATTGAAGAGCTTGATAAACCGCAGGCTGATATTGACAGCCAGTTCGAGGCTACCGTGAAACGCGCCTTAGCGCCACATGTTGAGCCCGAAGAGGATGGAGGGAAAACCTTGGACGACTCATATAAGAATTTCCGAACTGGATTGGTGTGTCTTTGGGTCTTTAGCAACTTGCTCCTGGCGTTGATGATTACCGCCACGGGTGTGGATAAGATATGTTTGACGAATACATCGACGACCAGGACGACCTGGTTCTTCGAGGTTATCTTGTGGATTACGGCGGGCTTGTCACTATTTCGGTTTATTGGGTCATTGTACTTCCTCGGGCGAGCAGGAGTTCTCTGCTGTGTATCCCGCCGCTGATTCTTTCTCGCTTGTACTATATTGTCTTGTTCTTATACTACCTCCACAGCCACTTTCTAGAATTTTATCACTTGATATTCTAATTGATATTTTCAGATAGTTTGAAAGTGCTCAACCTTAGTAAGTTGTCACTTAGACTTATTATGTTTTCAATTCGATATATTATAATTATAATTATTAAGCGTTTAAAACATATTCTACTTTTTAAGCTATCTTAGTCTAGGAATTAAAAAAGAAATTATAGAACTACTTGGTAGCTGGATCCCAGCTAACCAGCCTAATCAGGGCTATCAGCCAGAATCCTACGCCTAACAATTAACACTAATTTACACTAATTTGCACTCATCGGAAGATCTCCGCAAAGATATGCAACATGCGGGGAATCTAAAACTTGAATGTCATTTGCTACAGCCTCCGATCCTTCACACCATTCTTATCAAAAGAACGGCTGATTGTCGGAATATGCCGCCGAAAGAATAACTCGAAATGGGTATTAAAGAAACATAGGTTGCCCAATGACTCCAAGAACTGAGATACGACTTGGCTTACAACATACTTGGAATATCACCGAGAGAACTTAAGCCCTAAACATACACCCCCACCAAAGTTAGATACAAAGCATGAACGGCCTACAAATAACCCCCTTCATAACCTCCCTCCCCAAAGTCGAACTCCACGTCCACATCGAAGGCACCCTAACACCATCCCTCCGATGGAAACTTGCTCAGAAAAACAACATCCCTCTACGATACCCCACCTACGAATCGCTTCTCGACTCATACAAGATAACATATAATCACCGTCGCGAACTCAACGGTGACAATGGTGCTCCCACGTTCCTAGAAACCTATTACGAGGGCTGCCAAGTCCTCTGCACAGAAGATGATTTCTACGAACTAGCCATGACATATTTCAAAAAGGCAAAAGACATGAACGTGCGCTATGTCGAGCCGTTCTTCGATACCCAGGCTCATACTAAACGAGGCATTCCCGTTGAGGCGGTCTTAAATGGGTTTCTCCGCGCCCAACACGATGGAGCAAAGGAACTCGAAGTGAAAAGTAATTGGGTTTTTTGCTTCTTGCGTGACCATCCGGTCGAAGAAGGACTGGAGGCATTGCGCTCTGCGTTGCCTTGGGCTCGAACGAAAGATGGAAAGGGGAAGGGGTTATTTCATGCGGTCGGACTGGCGAGTAATGAGTATGATCGACCTCCGGGACTTTTTGAAGAGGGGTTTCTGTTGGCCAAGGAGGTCGGGTTACATGTGACCATGCACTGTGATGTTGACCAGAAGGATGTGGTAGAGCATATGCGCGAGGGTGTTTTTGATGTCTGTGCGGGTGCTGGGGCGGATCGCATTGATCATGGCCTTAACGCTGTCGATTCTCCAGAGTTGATGGCTGCGTTGAAAGAGAAGAATATCGGTCTCACTCTCTGTCCGCATGCGTATCATCGCAGACAGGCTACGGAGGTGCTTTTCCCTAAGATTAGGAAGTTGTGGGATGAGGGTGTCCAGTTTTGTATCAATAGCGATGATCCGACTTATATGCATGATGTTTGGATTGATGGGAATATGATGAAGGTATACAAGTATTGTGGTTTTACAGAGTCAGAGATGGGCAAGCTCGTTCGGAATGCAGTTGAGATGAGTTGGGCAGATGAGGAGACGGAGAGGGAGATTTTGGTGGATTTGGAAAGAGTCCTCGGTGGCGAGAAATTGCCTAGTAGCTAGCAAAGTGTTCCATGTGTTCTGAGCCATGTCAATCAAATGCTCATGGCCAAAGTAGTCGGAGCATTCCCACACCATTAAAAAAGATTGCCCCAACGGTTTGGCTCGATAAATTAGCGTGAGGCACTCAGGCTCCAGCTCTCGTGCCGCCAGAGTATAAACCCCCCCCCTCTTCTGTTTCCCCTCCTTTCACCTCTCTCCCCTCTTCCAACTCATCGCCATCTCTCCAATGGCAATTCGGGACTTGAGTGGATCTCAACTTTCTCCTTCTCTTCATAGAACAGTAACACAACAACTGCCGTTATCGCGCTGAGAGTCTTAAGAGGTTCTCTAATGACTGCATCGTTACCTCAAGAGGCTTACTTGTCAATGGTTCGATTGCTTTGCCACAGAAGATGTTCGTGACAGCGCGCTAGCCATTGACTTTCTGGATGACATTCTTGGTCACGATTAATCTCATTCTGTCGAACTATTTCCCTCTAAATCTGATACCAAACCCATATTGGCCAGGTCTTGCACTACCCCTCATTTCCCAGTCATGTTAGCAATTAAACAACTGCCCACCTCTTAACGTATACACGTAATTAACCCTTACAAGGAGCCTCGTATATCTCAAAAGTGTCAAACATCATTATTCATATCCGTACACGTACTTCAAGCGCCAACCTAGACAGGTTGTTTTCAATTACACAAAAATCCCATAACCCCAAAGCACTCTCCATTCGACTACAACTCACCATTCCAAAGAACCATCCCCTGAACATTCTAATCCCTCACAGAACCGAATCTCTTCCTGCAACTTATCAGTAGAATCATACTGCGGCACAGCCGGCCAGATATCCCTCCCAACTTCCTCTTCTCTCTTCCTATGATCAAACAGCAGCTCTCGAACCATTCTCTGGAAATACAACGGTCCCTAATTACCACATTAGCATCAACAACCTCTTCACACATTGTGATCAACCCGAACCTTCTCAGCCCGAGGATGCAACTCCCCATTCACGAACACCCCCGCATTCAAGTTCTTCTGCGCCGCATTACACAGATCCTTATCCTCTCGAAGGACCTGCTTGAAGAACTCATCGATATATGTAAAGTCCTCATTCGAAGCGTCATTATGTCTGTAGACATCATATTCCATCCGAGTCTGCGTGGTCGAAACAGGAACACAACGCATCATGTACCAAAACGACGGTCTAGGATCTTCTCAGTAACACCCCTACAAACAACATCAAGGAATAAAGTAAGAAAATCATAACATACGAAACCGTAATCGATGCATTGGGAAAATAAAAAGTACTAAAGATCCCCAGGCCAGGCGTATCTTGCTTATCGGCGTTGAAGTGCTGGATATGTCCGGCTTTAGTCTCGACGTAGTATTTGGTCAGATCCGAGATGGCATTTACGCCGGGATGGCCCGTTGGACAGTGATAGCACTATTCATATCCGATGCCATCGTCAGTTTCCTCTTTCTTTTGCCCTCCTTACCTTTGGATAATTTGGAGATAGACAGGGGGGGGTTGAAGGGAGGGAGGGATATACTTCATTATAATTATCCGCCAATGTCTTCCAATTATAATCCCCCATCATACTCCACGTATGATCGAAATGATACTGTGATAGATCAAACCCCAGCAAACGAGGCTGCTGGTCTACGCCCTCGAAGTCCTCTTCCCAAGATACGCTCGGCCGGGATCCAGCCTCGAGATTCACCCACACGAAACCAAGATGATCGATATGGACGTGAATGGGGTGCAGACCCATCTTCTCTTTCTCGAACCCTTCCACGTCCTGGTACCGGGGTGCTTTGGCAAGCTTACCATCCAGGCCGTAGGACCATCCTATATAACCATCCTTAGTGGTTGACTCCCTTACCCAAATTCAAATAGACAATTGGGACTTACCATGATATTTACAAGAAATGATATTAGCAGTCCCAGAATCGCCTTCCGTCTGAATAACAGGGTATGCCCGGTGTCGACATACATTATGAAAAGCCCTAATCGTGCCCGTGCGATCTTTGATAATGAAATAGCTGTATCCGGCTACGTTGAATTGCACGTAATCACCTGTCTTTGTGAATCGGGTGCGGTGGCTTACTACCATCCATTTCTTGGAGAAGATTGCGCGGCGCTCGAGGGCGTACAGCGCCTCGGAGCGGTACCAGGAGGATGGGAGGGCTTTTGTTTGGATTTTCTCCTTGGCGGGGGTGCTTGTGGACTTGGTGAAGGGGAAGAGGCGGTTCATTTTTGATATTGGTTGGTAGTTGGTGGTAGCCGATACAGGGTCAGGTTCTGGTTTGATGATAGATTGTTAAGTACTAGGTTATCGGGTCCGTTTCATATGGGCTGCTCATAAAGGTTTCCAGGGGCTAATATATTGTGTTCGACTTCTTAGGCTTTTGTCATCTTGTATCTTGTATCATTATTATCTTGGGTGTTGATGAGGGGGTGGTGTCGGATCCGGACCGCTCCCGGGTGGAGTTGGGGGTTGGTTAGGGCTAAGTTTTGGGCTTGGCTGGGTAGAGTCCGGTGGATGACGATTCCACCGTGACTTTATGTATGACTTGCACTTTTCTTAGAACCTATACATGTGTATTAGGAGCTTGGATTCTATAGAGGATACTGCAAGACCATGCTATGTGTTGGTAAGATCGTGACAGCGACCGTCAGGCTAGATACACTATGAGAGATTTGAAAGGGTACGGTCATACGTCGCTTCTCTGTGTCATAATGTGTTCTTTAGTTGCACTTGACTGAAACAAAGCGGAATTGTAACCTAAAAGTAACAGATACATGTATACGGACTTCGAAACTCAGATTCAAGTACCTCAGCACACTATAAAACCATCAAACATGCGATGTGCCACATGCTCTCCTTCCTATGTACAAATATAGCTAAATAATCAAGAATCTCCTGGTTCGAACGGCAAAACCAGTGACACAACCCCAATAACCACAAAGAACGCACAGCAGACCCAAATAGGCACAGACGTCGTGACATCCCCGAAGGTCGCGATAAATGGAGCCGAAAGAGAAGCAATCCGCCCACAGGCGAGGGTCAGGCCACAGCCAATGCCCCGATATGCATCTGGCATGACTTCTGGCGTATACCTATTCCTCCTTGTTAATATCAGATGGCATTATCTGTAAGGCTAAGTAAAACTCACCCGTAGATGATGCCGTATAGAGCATTGAGCCAAAAGTTAATCATGCCGGAAAAGGCCAGGTTCTGTGATTCGTTCTTGACAGTTGTGAAGGCGCCTGCGAAGGCGGCGCAGGCGCAGGCCGTCAGCGTCATTGAGCGTCGACGTCCGAGGAAAGGCACCTGCACAAGGAAGGCACTTAGGATCGGTCCCCAGATTCCGACTACCGAGGAGATGGACCAGTCGCGGTAGGTCTGATACGTGCTTCCATCGCCTAATGTCGCTCCGTGCGCTTCAAGGTAGTATGGGAGGAACACCGTATAGACGGGATATCTAAACCTATTAGCATTTACTGTTAAGATTCACGATCGGTGGAGGGAAGGGTGTGGTACGCAATGCCAATAAGTAGCCAAAGGAGAATCAAGCATATCATGGAGCGAATTTGCTTTGAGCCATGGAATAATGCGCCAACCATGGAGGCCGCTTTCTTGATAGCACTCTTAGAATCTTCCTGCTCATGAGGACGCAACTGATTAACCATCATTACGTATGTTGATTTGTTGACTTTGCTGATTGTGTTGATGGACGCCACTGCTTCGTTCAATTCACCCCGTGATACAAGCCACTTGGGTGACTCGCTCATCCCCAGCGCGAAAGTGCGCAGAACTGACATGACGAGACATAATCCACCGAGAATGATGTACAGATATCGCCATCCCATATTATTAGCTTTGGTGCACGTTTCCGGAGTGGCGCCTGCTGGGCAACAAAAGTTCACCACAAGCGGCCAGGCTGTCCATGATGAGTCAACAAAGCTCATTCAGAAGGTGGGGTGAGCAAGATGAATACCTATAAGCCCAGTGATAGCATTTCCAAGGCCCCAGAGACATGCAAGCGAGGTAAGAAGGAATGCCCACTTTCGAGGTAGAGACTCTGCAAGTACTGTGAGGTCAATTGCCACTATATCTCCATATCAGTATGAGCATACTCGGTCAGAAATGGTGTGCTTACAGTTCCCACCGCCAAAAAAAGCAGCGAGTACAACAAAAATATTCAACGCAGCCCAGTTGGGTGAGGCGGCACAGATGGCAGTAAAGACAGACACGCCAAAGATAGATGTCTGCCACGCCAGACGACGGCCAGTAAAATCAGCAATAAGCCCAAAGATAACAGCACCGGCTCCTAAACCTGCATACTGTGTAGCGGAAAGAAGTGTTGCGTATCGAGGGCCGAATTCCTTCGAGGCTTGAGGCATAACCAGGCTGATGGAGACCAGCAGCATCTGAGAATCTATTAGGAAGTGAATAGCGCTATTATGGGAAAAGCTTGCCTGGTCTGCAATGAACCCAAATCCACAAGAAACCATCAGCTGCCATTGATAGCGGCCCATTCCGATTGCTTCAATTGCATGGTTGATAGCGAGCTGGTTGAAGTCCGGAGGGTTGGCTCCCTGGTGAGATGTTACAGTACCTTCTGCGAGGCTTGGCTTTCGAGTTATTATCTCTTCTGATTTCTTTTCGGTATCCATCTGACTGAGAGTAGCGTCCTCGCTCATTTCTTGGTGATTGTCCGTTGAAGGATTAAGGCATCCAACAATATGAGGAGTACATTCCAGTTGTATTGGGCAATAGGTTTATATTTCGCATCCTAAAGAAAAACCCCATGACAAATTTTGGATTTCGAGAGGTGTCTGATAGCTCAGCGGATTCGGCCCGTATCCGTGGGGGAGATCAGAGTCGATAAGAGGAGTGATTTGGAGTAGAAAGCAAAGTTTGAGTTTAGTCGCACGGCCTATCCCCGCAACTTTTCTTTAGCAGCTCGGATATTTGCCACTGAGAGCAATCGCGCTGCTTTAGAATCAACGATACCTTTGCCCACGGCGCTTTAACAGATCCTAAGCTAGGTATGCATCTTCGTGAGTAATCGTCAACCATCTCACAACAGTCCGCGAATGGGAGTTATATAAGATTGCCCTACCCAACACTACCCTAGGACCATTATTAGTAGTAGCCTCGGCTGTTAGAACAAGCTATAGTCAACATATGAATTGCTCATATTGCAAGGGACTGCCAAACAGGATTCTCTATGCGGTAGCATGACACTCATTGAACTTCTCAACTGTCGTCCGTTTCCCGAATTACCGAACGTCGCATCACTAGTATCTCTGTTAATCAGTACATCACACATAAAGAATGGTTTCCCACGAGGTTGTGTTGTGTCTGCCTCGCTGTTAGTTGATTCAGCAGCCTTGGGGGCTTCGGTCCCGGCCCTGCTAGTGGGGGAGTTCTTCATCTTCCTTGTGCTCAGCCCCCTAATCTGCATCTTTCATCATTATGTACTGCGCAACGGAACGGTACTAGAGAAGTGGCAGTTGCTTAGCTTAGGGTATGGGAGAATCATGACATTCTGCGGCCTCGTGCTCGCGAATTATGTGGCAACGATCATGTTTCACAGATTGGTAAAAGAACGAAGCGTTTCTAACATACCCTCGCTTATTCATCCTATATATCTGAGACCTTCAGCTTGTATAACTCTCTTGTCTCAAGAATGCGCCCTTTTGCCAAGCACGTTTCAAAACTGTTGAATGAGCGAGATATCTACTATATAAGGACTTTGGGCGCTGAAGGCTGTGGGCAGCGATTAGTGAGTGGGGTATTCTGGCGCTCGGTTGCGCAAAGCGTCACACGGTAAGTAGCTGGTGCCTAATAGAGGAGACCTGGAATTTTGGGGCTTTCTTCTATGCTAGCGAAGCATGAATGAAAATTGATGTATTGACGCAAGAAATGAGCCCTTTCTTTCTTTTCTCTGAGGTGTGTTGAGATATCCTGAATTCTATCTAGGAGATGTCCACGCCTGACTTTAGTAGAATTTGGGCTTGAATTTAGCTGGATTGAATCACATCAGCGGTCTTTTCCGCGACTGCATACATTGTCATCATGAGGTTCGCGTGAGGAGTGAGCAAAAAGATACTCGCGCCCACCACCCGCAAAACCTTCGTCCCATAAACTCGAAGATCTTGATCCGCCACGCCTCCAACCTGCTGGGGAAGCATGGCAACAGTGCCACATGTGCGATGGGTGGTCAAAACAGCCGACTCGCGCAGCATTTCCTCAATGACTTCCATATCCTGTGGCACTTCGGTAGGCTGAATGACGCTTTGCAAAGCTGGAAACATGGTCAACTTGTGCAGGTTCTGCACATGACGCGCTAGGATCTCAATGTCCATGCTATTGGCGAAGAACTGAGTGTCAATTATAGGCTTGGCGTTAGGATCAGAGGATGCAATTTGAGTACTTCCACGAGAGAATGGGAAGCTTAAGATGACGCCCAGGAGAGCAATTCCGCCAGGTATAACGCTCCAGAGAAGACATGCAGAGGCCTCATCCGGGCCACGCAGAATAGACTTGATAACACGTTCAGATGTCTCCTCTTTGTGGCTCGATGAAAACACCTGTTCCTATTCCTCTTCATCGAGGCGCCTAAAGGCCAAGGCTTTTATGCCGGGTGCAATTCCTTCAGCCTTGAGAGGGGTCGGCAGAACGCTCATCAGATGATTCTGTAAGTTTCCACCTACTCCGGGCAGAGTTAGATAAATAATGAATAAATAAAGAGACTCGAAAGAGAAACAGAGTGAAAGAATATAAACCTTCCTAGCGCTTGATCTCTCCGATTTCTTTTATATGTAGGCAGTAAAGGCAGGGTCTTGGCGCCATCTGGACAGGGATTCAAGACTTCTTTTTTCACGGGAACTGATGCTGTGTAATATAATCTACTATATGATATGGGAGCGATACTCATCGTACTCTGCATAGGATCCCATGTACACCTGTTCTGTCAGGAATTAAATAGTGATTCAGTCCAGAAGGCGTACAGCACACTCGGCTCCTGGTGCATGAAGAAACCTAGTTATCCATACATATAAACCGGTCCCCTATGCATAATCGATTCGGCCTAGAAAGAATCTCCTAGCCTAACTTAACATATAATTCGTTGGATCTTGCAATATTTCTAGAGAGTCCAGTAGTTACTAACTGAAGCTCACGGTTAAGGCCGGCCCGGAGTACAGTAGTGGGGATACAAGTCTTGTCCCGCCCGGTCCGCAAAGCTTTTACCCCGCTCCCGTGCCAAGCTAAAGAAAACTTAAGGTTCATTTACATTCCGCGCCGGTTCCACTGCGTCACTGCAATTGCCGAAAGACCGAACCAACTCGGCTGTCCGATTTCGCGTCCTCTGCTTAAGATTGAACTCTCTCCAAGACAACTGAGAACAGGAAGACAGTGGGATCCCGAAGACTTGCGTACTTGCGCTCTTAAATTATTGCCAATTGAGATTTGGGAACAGTTGGCAATAAAAGATGGTCGGGGTTTCTGCTGACCACCCGGAATTAGTTTACAACGGTCCTGTGACCCCTCACTGATAAGAGCTTACAAAAGAGTCAGACCGTGGGGGTCCAGGAATTACTAGGGTCAGCGCACTCATTCTAGCCTATCATCGAGCTTAGTGAGATTGATTTTTCTGTGTATCTCGCTTACATGTCGATTCCCCTGCTCCATTTCTAATTTTTTAGATTTAGTCCATGTGCTCATTGGATTTTAGAGCATGGACTAAATTTTTAGGGTCGGCGTTTGATGGCTGGACCAGACGATCCGTTGAATGATATTGGCGGGATCAACTAGAGCTATGGGGCCATACTGAACGCCGGGGAAATATAGACTTTACCATAGCTGTTAGTTTCTTTCTTTCCCCGTGGTTAACATCCTGTGCGTGTCCTTTGAAGTTGATCTTAAATCGAAATTGAATTTATATAAATGTTACTATTACATTCTGATTTAATAGATGAAGAGATGTGCACTCTTTTGTGCTCACTCAAATGTCATTAATAGTCGTAATTGCTCAATGTCGAAAGCCACATCAAAGAGGTTATGTTAGAGCCCTACTATAGGCCAGAAAATTTGTCAGGTGTACCGAATTCTTGATTGATTGACATGGGCATTGCCATGCAAGTTATGATGTCAATCGAGAATTGACTTTTGCTAAATGTAAGGGACAAGGGAGAAAAAAAAGAAAAAGAAAAAAGCTAAAGAGAAAGCGAAGGAAGGAAAAGGAAAAGGGAGAAGGAAATAAAGAGAAAACAAGATCCAGATCGCCAAAGGTCCTTCCGAATGCGACTGATCCACCGAATTCTCCGCAATTGAATCCCCCACGTTCTTGGGTGTTGCCATCATCCCCTGTCACCGCCTGCGACCAGTTCTTCAGGGGATCTGCTATAAATCACTCCCTGTATCCATTTTCCACCATTCGTTGTGAACAAGAGGAAAAGGAAGAAAACATTCAAGTTACCCGGTTGACAATAATGGGTTTGGATACCATGGCATCAGAGAAGGAGGCAGCTGGTGGAGGGGTTTCTACTATTTATTCCGATCTAGAAACCTCAAAGCCAGGTATCGAGCAACTTGAGATGGTTGCTGATCCTGATGATGGTTTATCTGAAGAAGAGAAGGCAAAAATAGTATGCCACTAACTGTTAGGAGTAACATGCAGGTCAGCTGATCTTCTTTAGGATCGACGTTTGCTGAGGAAGTTAGATATGCGACTTATCCCTTGGCTGTCCTTACTCTATCTAGCATCTTTTCTCGACCGCACAAATATTGGAAATGCAAAGATCGATGGTCTCCAGGAAGCACTTCATATGACCGATGGCCAATACAACGCTTCGCTGACCATCTTCTTCATCTCCTACTCTATCTTTGAGCCCCTTACTAACGTGCTACTCAAACGGACACTACCTAGTATATTCATCCCAACAATCATCGTTCTCTGGGTATGTAATATAACTGAATGCGCTTGACAAAAGGGAAGCTGGTTCTGATCAGAGGTTATAATCATACAGGGCATTTGCATGACAACAATGGGGCTTGTCCACAACTTCTCCGGTCTTATGGCCGCACGATGGTTCCTTGGATTAGCAGAAGCTGGTCTTTTCCCCGGTATTAGCTACTATCTTTCCTGCTGGTATAAACGGTCTGAATTCGGCATTCGGATGGCCATATTCTTTTCTGCTGCTGCGTTAGCGGGCTCATTTGGCGGCCTTCTGGCGGCTGCCATTGCCAAGATGGATGGGGTGGGTGGAAAGGATGGCTGGGCGTGGATCTTCATCCTAGAAGGTCTCGCAACCGTCGTCATAGGGGTGTTTTCCTTCTGGCTGGTGTACGACTTTCCGGACAAAGCTAAATTCCTATCTGACGTGGACCGAAAGCGCGTAATGCGACGTCTGGCTCTAGACCAACAATCCAGTTCTGCAAAGGAGCACGAGTGGAAATCCTCATATATGTGGGACAGCCTGAAAGATCATAAGACTTGGCTCGGTGCTATTATCTACATGGGTGCTGATGGAGCATTATATGCTTTTTCATTGTTCGTACCAACCATTATCAAAGAACTAGTAAGCTAGCCAAGTGTTCAATGTGCCTCAAAGTAATGAAATCACTAACAATCCACTATCCAGGGTATTTCGAAAACTTCTTATTTGTCCAGTGGTTTGCTTTACTAACAGAAATAAGGCTACTCATCTACACGTGCGCAGCTTCTCAGTGTGCCTCCTTATGCTTGCGCTGCTATCGTAACAGTCTCGGTTGGCTACATAGCTGATCGCACGCGTCAGAGAGGAATATATAACATTCTCGCATCTATCTTGGGAATAGTGGGTTTCTCAATGTTACTAGGCACGAATTCGCCCGGTGTTAAATATGCGGGAGTCTTCCTTGGAGCCATGGGCATTTATCCCTGCATTGCTAATACCATTGCCTGGGTCAGCAACAACGTAGAAGGTCAGTCATTCTTCCTGCTTATCGACGTTCCTATGATTCAGCATTTGCATTATATATTCATATACAGTTACTGACGTTATCAAAATAGGCATCTATAAACGTGGTGTTACTATCGGAATCATGATCGGATGGGGAAACCTAAACGGTATCATGTCCTCTAATATTTATCGCAGTGCTGATGCACCGAATTACTATCCCGGCCACGGCACGGTTCTGGCGTACTTGACACTCTTTTTATTTATTGGGTCAGTTGTAGAATATTTTCTGCTGCGGAGGGAAAATCGAAAGCGCCGACGTGGCGATAGGGATCATCGTGTTGAGGGATTAACTCCTGAAGAAATTGAACAGCTCGGAGACAAGAGGCCTGACTTTATCTACACGATATAGCCTCACGTGGTGGTGTCATTCTTGCGAGTTTTGACTAAAGTGCTTTGTCGTTTCTTCGAATAGCTTAAACATGGATTTTAATCGAACTGAAGTATTCTCCTACCTCTCATCTCGGGCGCAAGAAACTGTCATCTCCAGCGCAGCTTCGGCCGAACAGTTCCAAATGATATATTACAATCCATGTGACAAAGTGAACTCTCCAAATTGACTGTAAGCCTCCTTTCAGGTGCATATAATACAGTTCCTGCAGTAACTCACTTAGCAATAATATCAATCTCGGCGTCACCGAGAACTTCCTGCTGCAAGAGCTGCATGTGTATCTAGAGAGCAATGTTTGTTTTCCTGTCTTCATCTAGAAGCTCGATAGTTCACAACCAATGCTGTCAATGAACTAGCATACGAGCCATAGGCCGGTTCCCCGCGCCTGCAAAAGCAAGTGGAGAAGTCTATCTGAAGTATACACAGACTTCGTGATTGAATTCCAACATATTCGCCAGATTTATTATATAGCATAAACAGAACATGTCATGGACTTTTTAGTTCAGTGTCCGTTGCTTACAGTCTAAAGGGTATGGCAAGCTTTTAGAGAAGAAATGATACACTCAAAATGATATGTATGCTTCCTACTGTGCATGAGAGTTTAAGCTGGAGCCGGATACCGCTTGTATCAGCGGAGAAACAATTAATGCAGAACGTGTCTCGATATGTCAATTATAGATGGGAAGACAATGGCGAGGCTATAGATAAGGCCGTGAAGAGCCGATGGACAGGTTGAAATCGTGGTTTCAATTACAAGCATATCTGTCTACGAAGAAGTGAAGTTCCACCAATCCTCAATAGCCCTTCCGTAGCTCTCCGGTGCCAAAAACAGATTATCATTCAGCATCCCTTCCGCCGGTGTCCCGATCAAACCGAAAGGCTCCGCAGATGGAGCCTGGTGCATATCCGGCCCAGATGTAAAAGAGGCCGGTGGAGTCGAAACAGACTCCGGTGGATACGCAACGACTTCTTTGGCCACTGTCTTGTGGCCAGATATCCCTGCTGACCCAACGAGAGGAAAATCTGGATCCGGAGTCATGAAGCTAGAGGCTGTATGCTTGGCATTAGGGTCGGATAGTGTTGCTCCTAAGAAATCACCAGTAGATTGGGAGCTGCTGGCCCGATCATAGACCAGTAATTCCCACAAAAGTTTTGCGTTATTGGACCATGACTGGCTGTTTGTGCTCGTGGAAACGCCTTCCCGTAAGCGATGTAGTTTTTGCATCTGTTACATTAGCGATGTGCTACCGGAGTTATTTGTGGTGAATATCGAGTACGAACCATATTTCTGACATGGGGCCATCGCTCCCCCAATGGCTGGAGAAAACGCACACATTTATTATAGCCGTTTCTCGCTGTATCTCGCAACCCTTGGTCGTCGACAAAGCTATGTTGGAGATGTATTGTGGCAACAATAACTACACAATGGGCCAAGATCGGATCGCAGATCTCAAACCCCTTATGCTCTACAAGGTCAATTATGTGAAGAATCCAACTCGCGTGAAGGGTAATGTTCTCAAACGACTGCCGAATGAAAGAGTGGGGCATGGTATGCCTGAAGCTTCGTAATCTCATCGATAGCAGGAATGGGTGATTCAGTAAGCAGGGAATCGTTTCGAACATAATCTGGACAAAAAGCCAGGGACCCCAAAAATCACGACGCTCATTTAGTTCCTGTAAACTGTGGTTTTGTAAATTCTCTGCGTGGTACCGGTATTTTAGTGGGACAAGACTATCGAACTCAGTATGTCGAAAGGAAACTACAGAGTAATCGGATTCAGGGAACCAGGGAGGAAGAGAGACTGGATCAACCTTGGTGGCAGCATAGTTCATCGCCAGAGCCCACACCTCACTCAGTTGAATAGTGTAGGAGACGAGGCCAAGGTCCTCCTTTGTATTAGATCCTCGTGGTTCTCTGATTGACGGTGGAGTGTATTTCGGCGATAATCCCGACCCGGTGTTGAAGGGCGTGTGAACGCCTGATATAAGTCGACTTGTTTGAATCCCGTCCCCTTGAAGATGTCGTAACATATAAATACTCCAAGAACAGCGACGCTTTTCGTCCGCATCTGTTTGGATGTTGGTCAGAATCTCACCATTGGTGTTGACGCTTTGTGCGAGATAGGCCGCTATGTTCAATGTCAACCCTGCCTGTATGGTATGTCCCACTATAACTAGTCAATATTGAAGATCTCGGAGTTTTGAAGATTCCTCACCTGAAAACTCGAACATAGCTAATAGGCAAAGCGTCTGTAAAGTTGAGAGCTCCAAGTCCCCACTGTTGATCCGATCCATAACCAGGGAGCGCGCATTTCTGGCATATTCAAGAATATGTGCTTCCCCAACTTCTACTTCGCGTTCGAACCGCAGACTGATCGCCTGGATTGCAAGGATAAGTTCCGGATCCCGAGTGGCGATAGTTTCGACGAAGTCCTCTGGATCAAATAAAGGAAGGGGTTGGTAATTACAAAAGCTGATATACAGTTGAGCAGCTCTCAAAATTGAGCTATGGTTATCAAGATCTCTTCTGGTGTCTCCGGCATGTTCATCTCGTGAGCCAGACTCCATTTGAACAGTCACCGGCGTCATGGTCTGTCTAGAACTACTATAACCTATATTAGCATCGGCTCTTGTATATCAGAGTTTTATATAAACCCACCTCAAGCTACTTATCAATTCCTCCAACCTCCCCTCTACATTTTCCAACCGCCTCGCCTACCAAATTAGTCGCCATCATTACCGGAAGGGTCGGATATATACGTGCCATTTCAGTGGCGCCAGGGCCTAATTCTCCAGAGTCAGAATACACGCATTGTTGTCCCAGCCTATCGCAGTACGAGCAGACTGGTCTCTCGCCTGGACATCGAGACTTTTTTCGCCTGCGAAAGTATCAGAATCTATCTGTTTGCAAGTGCAGTTATCTTTACCGGCATGGATCACAGGCTTGACGGGCACGTTTGGGCGGTCGGTAGACATCAGTCGACATTTTCGAGCTGAGCTGATGATATTCCTTTGGCGTAAATCTGATACTTAGGGAGTATTTTTGTGGTTGCGATAATTGGGTAGCCTTCTTATAGCTCATGCCAGCATGCACGCTAAAAGTCTGATACTGCACGGCTACCTTATCTATCAGTGCGGGGTAAAGTGGAGAGATTATTGAGGGATAACCAGAGCAACCTGAATGGCTAATAAAAGCCAATTACTTTGGTAGAATCTCCTCGATTCACCTTTCACGATCTTCTATATCAGCTGGCCAGTCAATCGTCTATAAGAATTAATTTTGGGCAGCTACGGGTATAACTACGTTGTGGGCTAGCTTTACCACTGACAATGAACACAGTTTTCCCCGAGGGAACAATAGCATAATATTTTTTTTTTTTTTTTACAATTTACTCTGTTCTTCAACAGTCAACATCCGTAAGGGGGGTCCTCCCCGGCTTCCGTCCCCAATCTTCAAATCTCCACTGCCATCAGGCAAACGAAACCTCCATTTCTGTCGGAGGACCTCTGGGGCACGATTTTCATAGCGGTCAGCTATGTACCGACCAAGAACAGGAAGGAATTTAAAGCCACTGTGTTATCCAAGTTAGTGAAAGCATAGAGTAGACCGCAATTACAACTTACTGTCCAGCCCCTCCGATAGCAACAAAAAGCCCATCCATCTGAGGATGATAGTCAACAACAAAGTCACCCTCCGGGGTGTCTGTATACCAACACAGACGGCGATTCGACCAGGGACGATCGGCGAAACGTGGTATGAGCTGCCGAAGACCATCTCGTAGAGCTTTGTCCGCTTCCTGAGGAAGGAAAGATTTGTCGGTATTGTTGGAATGAAGCTTTGGCGAGGACACGGCTCGATCCGTAGCATCGGAACGTATGGAAGTTGCAAAGCCGTAGCTGTGTCGCGCGACTTTGAGAATGTTTGTTCCCGGTGTTGGAGGGAAACAGAATATGCCGCTTGATAAGTTGATCATCACAGGCGTCTTCGCGATGCTGCGGGCCTCTTCTGAACTGAGTTGGATGAAGCCTACAGGCTGGCCTGACGCGGATGCTGTATGGGCCACATCCAGAAGCAAATTTGACCATGCGCCGGTACTAAGAATAACCTGATTTGCAGGAATAAAGTCTCCTCTGGCCACATTCACACCAACAACACGGGATCCCTGTCTCCGTAATGAGAGGACTGTTCCCCGTGGCCCAGTCACGAAGGACACGCCCGCCTGACTACATCTGTGACTTAAATAACGAATACTTCCCTCAGCATCTGCCCAGCCACCTTCGGGATTATGATATGCCCGAAGACTACTGAGGTCCGCGTGGAGATCCGGATACATCTCTTTCAGGTCATTCCCATCCGAAAACTCTTTCAGTGCCCGGCCTTGAGCATGGATAATTTCTAGTGTTTTCGCGATGTAAGGATTCGACGCTGTCTCTGATAGCATCACAAATCCTGTATGGTGATAGTGGTCTCTGTACTCCGATTTCCAACCCTTGAGAGCCTCTTGAGCCATTTGAGAATAAACGGGGTCGGCATATTCGGATCGGATAATTCGAGAAACGTCGACGCTGCTGCCATCTGGGACTGGAGGCGGATAGCGATCGAGAACAGTAATGTTTCTGTACCCGCGCGAGCTTAATTCGAGTGCCGTTGATAGACCAAAGACCCCTGCGCCTATGATGAGAATAGAGTCTGTCTTCGGCGTCGTTCTATTTGCCATGTCGGCTAGGTACGGTGTGCGCAAGGACTCTACAAAATTGTAAAGCGAATAATTATGTTTTACTCATGGAATGGCTGGGAATACACCCGGGTTAAAAATAAAGTCCCAAAAGACATTTCAGTAGGAAATTCCGATGGGATGATACGCTGGACATACTTTGGGCGGAGCCGGTCCGTCCTCCGTCCCCACCCGGAGGGCGCAATGTCACTGCTCTGATAGGAAGAGTTCGATAGCCTCAGGCATCATGTACAGAGTAGCTTCATCAGGCCATAAGTAACTCGTTCAAGGTTATTATGATATGATCTCTATCCGCCAATTACTTCTCTCGAGCACCTGCCTGTTATCGTGCACGTTTTAAAAAAAGCACTAACAACAACTTGAGTGATCTCCTCTGGCATGATGTATCTCATCTCAAGCGGTATCATAGTATATAGGCAGTTCAATTGCCGTGTGTCACTAGAGAAACTGCCCTAGTAATTGCACAAGACTAACAGGGTAGACTCAACTCTAACTGTGAAGTCCCAACTTGAGATCTGAATTAGAAACCAAGGATAGTCTAAGCGGGGGTCCTGAGGAAGCTAAGAAATTATCTGATGGTCAACAACTGAATATCTCACGTTTGATTAGATTAAGTTATTTGGTTATAGGTCTGAAAGAACTACTCGGTAGTATTGGAGGGCAGCGGATATGGTAACAGAAAGCTGCAAAAACGTATGTTCTCTTATCAAGCATGGTCGATATAACTATAAGTATACTATCTGACCAAATATATACAATACTGCCTCTGCACACGGGTTGACCTGCACTTAACCTTGGCGCACTTACTCAAGGAGTGTATCCTACTTATTAGTAGCTTTTAAATGATTTATTCATCTATCATTCACTCTACATTTAATCATATTAAAGCTGTTGAGAAGAAAGGATCCGCAGAGAATTGAAGGAGGTTGTTGTTGCGAAGCTTCCACAAGGGGCTTAGCGTAGACGGCCATAGCTCCGCACTAGTCCACTTTCATCGTGTTTATCATGTGACTCAAGTTAGTCAGCCACCGGAGTGAGTGCCGCCGCCAAACGTCGTCTGGCGCTGAAGGTATTTTCATCATCATAGGCATCAACGCGTTGCACCCTATATCACCCCCTAGAGTTCCGCGATCACAGGGTATGATCCGGATGTAGCTATTGCTACCCCTTCCTGGGATTATATGTTCTCTATCTGATCTCTGAGCGACTCTTTACTGTCACCATGTCTGACTGTACGTGTCACCCCATGACTTGATCCACCCCCTGACTAACCCCTTCCGCAGCCGATTTCGAAGCCGTCCGAAGGCTCCAAGCTGAGCGGAATGCCGCTGCAGCTGGAAAAAAAGGTTCTAGGACCTTTGATCCGTCTAGCCAGCGCACTGACAACTCGACCAAGGCCTCCCTGACTGAATCCTTCGACACCACCCTTTACGAACGCGAAGGCGCCGACAGGTTTGCGGGCTACGATACTTCGATCGCCGTCAATGGTGATGACGAGGAGATGGAGGATGCGGATGGTGGCCACCGTCTGGTGGGACAGTATACCGCAACCAAGAGTCAGATGGATGAATTCGCCCATGGTAATGGAGTGGAGGAGGAGGACATCCTTCTCGGCCGCGAGAAGGCGGCGAGGATTGCAGACCGCGAGACAGACTACCAAAAGCGCCGATTCAACCGTGGCGCTTTGACCCCCACCAGAGCGGACCCTTTCGCGGCGAACACTCATGCGAACGTTGAGGGAGAGGGCCAGACGTATCGTGAAGTCATGGCTCTGCGTGAGCTTGAAAAAGAAGAAGAGCGTGTTCAGAAGCTGATCGCAGAGAAACAGGCCAGTGGCGAGAACGGTGTCGCAGAACATGAGGCCACATTAAAGTTAGAGGACAAAGAAAACGCTGACGCCGGCTCGACCGTTTCCGTTGCTACGGGACGCAAGCGCAAGCAACGATGGGATGTAACTTCCGAGTCGACCGAAGCAGCTCCCGAGGCTTCCGAGCCTCAGGAGACAAAGAAGAAATCTCGCTGGGATCAAACACCCTCCCTTCCTGTTCCGGGCGCCGCCGAAGAAGCACCTAAACGTCGATCGCGATGGGACCAGGCGCCATCTATCACATCAGCCACACCTGTTGGCAACCAGGGGCTCGCAACCCCCATGCATCCTTCACAAGCAGGTGCGGCCCTGATTCCAACCAGCTTTGGAACTGATATCTCGGGCCGCAATGCCCCCTTGTCGGATGAGGAGCTTGACGTGATGCTGCCGGGCGAGGCCGATGGCTACAAAATCCTTGACCCCCCTCCAGGATACGCGCCAATCCGAAACCCCGCAAGGAAACTTATGTCGACCCCAGCACCCATGGCCAGCGCGACGGGTGTCGGGGGCTTCATGATGCAAGAACCCGAAAGCGCTCGTGCCTTAGGCAAGCAGCTCCCAACCGAGATTCCAGGAGTCGGCGATCTTCAGTTCTTCAAGCCCGAGGATATGGCATACTTCGGAAAGCTTATGGAAGGTGGAGACGAGAGCGTTATGTCCGTAGACGAGCTGAAGGAGCGGAAGATCATGAGGCTGCTTTTGAAGGTCAAGAACGGTACACCACCAATGAGAAAGACTGCCCTGCGTCAACTCACAGATAACGCACGTCAATTTGGGGCCGGCCCCTTGTTCAACCAGATCCTTCCGTTACTCATGGAGAAGTCGCTTGAGGACCAAGAGCGCCACTTGTTGGTCAAGGTCATTGATCGTGTTCTCTACAAGCTGGATGATCTTGTCCGCCCCTATGTGCATAAGATTCTCGTCGTCATTGAGCCGTTGCTTATTGACCAGGATTATTATGCTCGTGTTGAGGGTAGAGAGATCATCTCCAATTTAGCAAAGGCTGCCGGTCTTGCTACCATGATTAGTACCATGCGTCCCGATATCGACCATGTCGATGAGTATGTCAGAAACACAACTGCACGTGCATTCGCCGTGGTCGCCTCGGCACTTGGTATTCCCGCCCTCCTTCCCTTCCTCCGTGCTGTGTGTCGCAGTAAGAAGTCTTGGCAGGCAAGGCACACTGGTGTCAAGATTGTCCAGCAAATCCCCATTCTTATGGGTTGTGCTATTCTTCCTCATTTGAAGGGTCTGGTGGACTGCATTGCCGACAACCTTAGCGACGAACAAGCCAAGGTCAGAACTGTTACCGCACTAGCAGTAGCAGCCTTAGCTGAGGCTGCTAACCCATACGGTATCGAAAGCTTCGATGAGATCCTCAATCCTCTTTGGACGGGTGCTAGGAAGCAGCGTGGTAAAGGTCTGGCTGCATTCCTTAAGGCTGTTGGATATATCATTCCTCTCATGGACGAGGAGTATGCCAATTACTATACCAGTCAGATCATGGAGATCTTACTCCGAGAGTTTTCTTCCCCAGATGAGGAAATGAAGAAGGTCGTTCTTAAAGTAGTGTCCCAGTGCGCCAGCACTGATGGTGTGACAGCCGGCTACCTGAAAGAGCACGTTTTGACCGACTTCTTTAAGAGCTTCTGGGTAAGGCGCATGGCCCTTGACAGGAGGAACTACCGCCAAGTTGTCGATACCACCGTCGACCTTGGACAAAAGGTTGGCGTCGGTGAGATTCTCGAGCGCGTTGTCAACAACCTGAAAGACGAGAGCGAGCCTTACCGGAAGATGACGGTGGAGACTGTTGAGAAACTCATTGCAGCCCTAGGAGCAGCAGATATTTCGGAAAGGTTGGAGGAGAGACTCATCGACGGTGTTCTCTACGCCTTCCAGGAGCAGAGCATTGAGGATATTGTAATTCTGAACGGGTTTGGAACAGCGGTCAACGCACTTGGCACTCGTTGCAAGCCGTATCTTCCACAGATCGTCAGTACCATTCTTTGGAGATTGAACAACAAGTCTGCTACTGTCCGTCAGCAGGCTGCAGACCTCATTTCTCGCATTGCAATGGTTATGAAGCAGTGTGGAGAGGATGCACTGATGGGTAAGCTTGGTATTGTACTCTACGAGTACCTGGGTGAAGAATACCCAGAGGTCCTTGGTTCCATTCTGGGTGCTCTACGTTCCATTGTCACCGTTGTCGGTATCAACCAGATGCAACCACCCATTCGAGACTTGCTTCCGCGCCTTACACCTATCCTGCGAAACCGTCATGAAAAGGTCCAGGAAAACACCATCGATCTTGTCGGTCGTATTGCGGACCGTGGTCCCGAGTCTGTCAATGCTCGCGAATGGATGCGTATTTGTTTCGAGTTGCTTGACATGCTGAAGGCACACAAGAAGGGTATCCGTCGTGCCGCAAACAATACTTTTGGTTTCATCGCCAAGGCAATTGGTCCTCAGGATGTTCTAGCAACACTGCTTAACAACCTACGTGTGCAGGAGCGTCAGTCACGTGTTTGTACTGCTGTCGCCATCGGTATCGTGGCTGAAACTTGTGCCCCGTTCACTGTCCTTCCAGCTCTGATGAACGAATACCGCGTACCTGAATTGAACGTCCAGAACGGTGTTCTGAAGGCCATGTCCTTTTTGTTCGAATACATCGGCGAGATGGCTAAGGACTACGTTTACGCCGTTACGCCCCTTCTCGAGGATGCTCTTATCGATAGAGACCAGGTGCATCGCCAGACCGCAGCCAGTGTTGTCAAGCACATTGCTTTGGGTGTGGTCGGTCTCGGGTGTGAAGATGCAATGGTCCATCTTCTCAACTTAGTATTCCCCAACATCTTCGAAACCAGTCCTCACGTTATCGACCGTGTTATCGAAGCCATTGATGCTATTCGGATGGCCGTTGGCACGGGAGTGGTCATGAACTACGTCTGGGCAGGCCTATTCCACCCTGCCCGCAAAGTCCGTACACCATACTGGCGGCTTTACAACGATGCTTATGTGCAAAGTGCGGATGCAATGATTCCATATTATCCGACTTTGGAAGATGATGGCTTGGAGAGATCTGAATTGTCCATAATAGTTTAAAAGCGACTTGCTTGTTCATGTATCGTATCACTTCACTTTCTAACTGTTAAGTTCGTTTCGCTGGCATTATGAGCCTATTTAATCGCGCACGGTGTTCTTGATGGTGGGATTGGCGTGTATTTATTCTCATGGGGCCAGGTATCAGATATAGGAAATGACATTATGGTTATGCCAGTCGCCGATACCATCGGTACAGTACTTTGTGTAACACATCAGACTAGTGATCGGACGTCCGATACTCTTCTGCTCCCCCGCATTACTATGCGGATGCTCGGTGGAGCTGCGGAGCTCCGAGTGTCTTGACTCGATCCCCAACTACTCGGCTATATAAATCCAAACTTATTGCGAAAACAACTATCCTAAACCAATCTCGAACTTCACTCGCAGTAATGGCTCTCCCTTCCCACTGCGACGTCCTCGTCATTGGTGGCGGAAATGCCGGCTTCTGCGCCGCCATATCAGCAGTTCAATCTGGTGCTCAGAAGGTGATCATCATTGATAAATGTCCTGAAAACTGGGCAGGGGGAAATTCTTACTTTACTGCAGGAGCATTCCGGACTATTCATGGTGGTCTAGAGGACCTCCTTCCCATTGTGAATAATGTCGATACAGCCACAGCGCAGAAGATTGATATGAGTCCGTACACCGCGGCTGACTTCACGAATGACATGGAGCGAGTGACAGGAAAGAGGACGGACCGTGAGCTAAGCCGAGTACTCGTACACGATTCGAACGCAACCGTCAAGTGGCTTGCGGAGAATGGTGTCCGGTTCCAGCTTTCTTTCAACCGACAAGCGTATGAGGTGAACGGTCGGATCAAGTTCTGGGGGGGTCTGGCCTTGAAAACCCAGGATGGAGGCAAAGGGCTTATTCAAGACCACCTCCGGACGGCCCAGGAGCTGGGTATTGAAGTTTTCTTCTCAACGGCTGCAGAGAAGCTTGCCACGGATCCAGTGACTCGTGCTATAACGTCGGTGACGGTTGTGCACCATGGCCAAGTGAAGGTGATCAAGACAAACGCCGTGGTACTTGCTGCCGGTGGCTTCGAAGCCAATCCACGGATGAGAGCACAGTTTCTAGGGCCTCATTGGGACACCGCCTTAGTTCGCGGTACCCCGTATAATTCAGGCGACTGTCTCGAGATGGCAATTCGCGATGTATCAGCCAAACAAGTTGGCAACTGGTCCGGGTGTCACTGCGTGGCATGGGACGCAAACGCACCCCCCAATACAGGAGACCGCGAGATCTCCAATGAGTTTACCAAGTCTGGCTACCCATTAGGGATCATGATCAATCGTCAAGGCTCTCGATTTGTGGACGAAGGCTCGGATTTACGCAACTACACCTATGCCATGGTCGGACGGCAGATCCTGCATCAACCGGGTCATGTTGCGTTCCAAATCTGGGACTCGCGAACAATCTCCTGGCTGCGCAAGGAAGAGTATCGACCAGAAGTGGTGCAGCATATCACAGCGTCGTCGATATCAGAGCTGGCAGAGAAATGTGCTGCGGAACATGGTCTGGAAGACAAGGACCGGTTCGAGCGGACGATCGATGAGTTCAACAACTCTGTTTATGAAAGCCAGCGACTGAACCCTGGCCAGCAATGGGACCCGGCTGTAAAGGACGGTCTCTCAACTCAATCAAAGACATGTACGCTCAGCATCCCCAAGTCCAATTGGGCGTTGCCTATCGACCAGCCTCCGTTCCTGGCTGTAAAGGTCAGTGCGGGCGTCACCTTTACATTTGGTGGTCTGGCGGTGAATCCAGAGACAGCTGCTGTGGTTTCGTCTATGACGAACTGTGAAATCCCCGGGTTGTACTGCGCTGGGGAGATGGTTGGGGGACTCTTCTATGACAATTATCCCGGGGGCAGTGGGTTGACGTCGGGGGCGGTTTTTGGACGCAGGGCAGGGAAATCTGCTGCGAGAACTTCTGCGATAGCCGTACGATAATATCGTCCTCTGCACTGACTGGGATTTGGTCGATCGATGTCAGATGCTGCCAGTGGTGGTCCTTGGTGCTACCCAGTGCTATCGTCTATACTACGTTGATATCTGATTTGGTGTGCTATACAGATGAATTAGACATTAGTTGAATTTAACTTGGGCTTGATCTTTCACGACATTTGCTATTCTTATTATTGTCGGGGTTTTCTGTCTTTCTTTTGTTTTTCTTTTCCTTTATCTTCTGTTTTTGGTGTGTTTTCCTTTTCATTCTGGGACAGATGTATGAGTCCCAGATAGATAAAGATATATATATTCGAGGCATATCCCGCTGAGCCATGTTCACACCTGTTGAAAAACTTGACGGGCATTCTTCTTCGAATTTATTACATCTACGGTGAACGGGAGTCTATAAACTTCATGGTCAGGTTATTTGATACGCTTTACACGGGACGGTCTATACATCTGCCCGTAGACTCTGTACAACTACTAGTCAACTATGGGTGAGGAATCTAGACGTGATTACTTAAGCAGAGGAGCAACAATAGACATTATATACACTCTCAGTGTCTGGGAACGGTTCTGTACCACCACACCACCAAACTCAAGAGTGACATTCATTGTAACCCTAGGGGAACCCACTGACATCTCTCCTCACTTCTGTGATCATGAAATGCAGCACACCCATACACATGCACATCGACACCTCTCCTGTGAACTAGTCCGAAAAAAGATAACCAGAAAATATGGATTGAACGAAAATGAATTAGATTAAATTCTCTCTTTTTATTTTATTTTATTTTATTTTATTTCATTTCTCTCTCTCTTTTTTCTTTACTGATTTGCCACATGTCGCCGATGCCAAGCATTCGCCCTGCAGGCCGTGTCTGTAGTTGACTAAGTAAAAGTGCCGCGTAAGCCTTCTCCATCCTCCTTGTCATGTGCGGGCTTGGCGGCAGGGATCTGTGGGGAAAGGTCAGCCAATGGCCGAACATTCCTGGATGAGCCCTGTAGACTGAGTGGTCGTCATGGAATGGTTCAGGGATTGCGTGGGATTTTGGAACGTCTGTATCAGATATGTTGTTGTGATGGCCTTCTGACTGGTTCGGAAGTCACCTCAGTCTTGTTGACTAGGGATGTGTCTACGTAGGACCCTGGATGATGCAAATACTACCCATCTTTTTATTTCATTTTGTCTATTTATATATATACCTATGCTGGATTGTGAGGTATTTTTTTTTTATTTTATCTTATTTTATTTTTTTTTTGGTTAGATTAAATCAGATGGATTGATAGTGGATGATGTTTTAGTTTGGAAAGTAAGTCAACGAACTAATGAATTCACCCTAGTTAGTAAGGGTCTGAATGGACGCTCGAGCGTTGACCCCCTAAATTGGGGTTTTACTTTTTATTTTATTTTATTTTATTTCATTTTTTTGTTCTACAATTTGAAATTTCATAGGATTTTATTTGAATTTCTGTTGTTTGCAGTCGTGTGCATGAGGCGGGCAGTGTAGATTTTGACTGGCTCGGATGGAAGAGTTCAGCTGGACGAACGACTTCAGTTGTGTCGGTGCATATGTACGGAGTATAATGGCGACACTATAGGTATTCGACGGACCTTCGATAGTGAGTCGAAGTCCGATGACAGTCGATAAATCAGATAACTAATGTAGAAAAAGAAGATCTATCAGACATCCCAGTACAGAACGAGGGACGGCAAAATACCGATACACATCTATCCATCTGCAATGCAGACACCACAGCATGGTACCCCTGCATCCTCCCCTCGCTCACCTTACTTCCAGACATGCGTCCCTGTCTTTCGCCTGATAGGGTTGAATCGCATGGAAATAATTTCCTAGATGTGGCTGTTTTCTCCTGCTCAATTTTCCCTGTTTTTGTCGGCAAGACCGAACAAGGAAAATAGGGCACAAGGTAACTCGTAGCTAAACTTCTTCTCGCCCCGTCTTGGGGGGCGAGAGGTCCGAGAGGAGCGCATTACGAAGCAACCAGAAATTAACAGTGATTAAAATAGAACATATCGCTGTCGTTCGTCCGCGAAGGCAAATTTGCAGTTGCAATCGTCACCTCGAATGAAACTTTGGAGTGGAGGGAGAAATAGATAGTACCTGCGTTGCCCCTCGGTTCATGTGAGAGATCAGGTACCGCGCGTGAATTTGTGTGTGTTCAGACATTTCGTATCTGCACTTGTACTGTTAGCTTTGTGTCGAGACATAAACTACTTACACACTGCATGGTATTACTCTATAGACACTACGATGTTTTCTTCCCGTCCCCATCGTGACTGGTGGTAGACTAAATGACGGCCCCATTCGGAAGGATCATCTCTATACCATGAAAAGGTCCCCATAGTGATACTCAGGAACAGAAATCACCAATTTCTATTCTTGTCCATGTCATTTTACCCAACTGCCCCTTCCAGTTAGTCCCAGATGCAGGGACTTCCATCCATCCCACCTGGCAGTCGTAAGCTCGAACGCTTTGATCAAGGCCTGCCTCGACCCATGTTTGCCATTTTGGGGTCGAGGAAAACGGGGTGCAAGTCCGACCCAATCCACTGCAAGGTGACAACCACTGTACGTACGCAATCATTCAATCTATTTCACCGAATATTAGCCAAATAGAAATTTGGAATCCTGCATGTGGGTTTCAGAGTTAGTTGGATTGTAGTTGTCTGTGTGGTTTCATACCGAAATTCCTCCATCGTCTCCCCCTTCCATGGTCGACGACTAGCACATGCCCATCGCCGCCATTGACATACGCCAAGACCGTAGGGCTCCACTTTCTGCACACTAGATGTGTTTTTCCCGTCGGGAATCACGCCCAAGGCTGCTGCCAGGTGAAGCTTGTTCAAGGGTCCTTGTTTGACTACGTATTCATCGTTGTGACTCTTGAATAGAGAGGAACGTTAGTTGGAGATGTTGTCGTAGGTTGCTACAGGCTATAATTGAAGATCTATAGTTTGCCAGCACGTTGAATCACCACGAGTATCAAACCCAATAATGAGAACCAAGTAGCCTCAAAACGCAACCAGTAAGGTAAAACTTACCCTGAAGAACGAAGAACAGGGATACCCCTGAGTCCTACGTAATGCTGCTTAACAAGTAGAACGAGAGTTAATCAAACAATGGATACCCCCAACTGTAGAAAATGATAACAAGTCGGTCTATTACAAGCATCACTCGACCCCCTTCTCATGGCAGCCCAATCTGACGGTTAGGGCCCAGTGATATCATGCGCGATATCAAACTCCAGTTAGAGGGTTGTTCTTGAAGAGGGTGGGACGCCGGCTCCGGCTCTAGTGTGGATGAACGGCGCGTTTCATCTGACTGCTAGCCGCAACCCTGAGAGTGGCAGTGTTGTGGAGCCGGGCCAGGATCGCACACAGGGATTCAGGGTAACGGGCTTGCGGGGGAGCGTGCTTTTTTGCTCATTTCCCTACGGGGGAGGTATGCCACTGATATTGGATAATACTATTTTTCTTCTGGTATTTTGTAAGGGCTTCTCAATTCCAAAAGACCCTCAAGGGGACCCAACAACCACCACCAGGGCCCCATTTAAACACAGCCAAAAGCAAAACTTCCACGCCACCATACCCGAAGCAGTAAGGTTCCCCCAAAATAAGGAAAGCTTTGTGAGATGTGCACGCGTCAGCTCCTGTGGGTCCAACCCTTCTGATTGGGTTATCTGGTCGAGCCAAGCTCGGCTATCGACTATCTGCCGTCCCTGGGGCATGTGGCTGCATCACCCTGCCTTTTCCTTAAAAATGAATCATGCCTGGTGCGCACCAATCGCGTGCGTGGTGAAATTTTCTTAGTCGCTGCCCTTTTTGCAGTAGGCTTATCTTAGTTCGGATAGGATAGGGGATATGGGATCCACTCACACATCATACCTACCTGAGCATAGTGATTACCATTCCAGGACGTGGTGCTAACCATGTGTGTGGATTGGATCCTGGATTGAGTTGGCTAGTCAGCTTAGCTAACCTACTTAAACTTAGCATCCTCTTTCGAAAGAGTTTAGCACTAACCTCTCTAAACTACTAAACTAGGCTAGTTACTATGTATTTACCAATGTAGGCAGTTGGTCGTCGGGAATCGCGACCAATTGAGAGGGATCAATTTCCCCTAGCGGAATGCGTGTAGGCATAGCCTGCCCTTTTGGGAGGGTTAGCTGGATCGAGTACTGACCCTCTTGATGGAGTCAGGTGCGGTTTGGTCAAGAATTTTGGGGGTGGACACGCGGGAGAGAACCACGACCCCCCCCCCTACCTAACTAATATACGACAAGTTTAAATCGTAAATTAATGTCCATACTGGATGGAGATTTTCTTTCTGGTCCTCATGGTCTATCGGTTGCTCTATTAGCTTGGCACTTCGACTGGTTCTTCCGGCCTTTCGGGGACCTCAGCGCGGGTTACGATCCGTACCCCGTAGAACTTCGAGATGCTAAAGTTTTCCCTAGTCCGTGGAACGGAGAGATTCTGGAATTCCAGGGACAATTTTCTCTTTATGTCGATGGGGATGGGGGGGGGGGGAGAATAACCATCTACTATGGAGTAATGTATCTACCAGTCTGCAGACAATTCCACCTACATACTCAACGAGCATTGCCCCCTCAAAATCTTAACCTTCCTCATACATACACATATACATATACTATTCGATACTCTATCCCAGGACCTGAATAATGTATTATATTAACCCCTTATCCTTTACTGGGTTCTTGCGCCCGTACCGGAGACAACAACGCCAATCATGACGATCTGCCGAATGGATCTGCCAAGATGGACCCGTGCAGATGACAGATGTTTAAGAGAAATTTTTAGTTTTTGATTTTTCCGTTTTTCCCTCAATACCTGAATCATTATACGTCTCAGCCGGCTAAACACTTTTCGCAATTAAAGTATCGTGGATCATCAGTTCCTAAACACTCCAACTCGACCTTCTGGAACTAAAGTGCCGATGGGCGGTCTCCATCTACCGAGGGTTTCCGCTCTTGAGCCAATTCCTATGACTGTTGTTTATTCCCTTTAGGATTGTCTTGAAATGTAGTTCTTATTGTGCATGTATACCGAAGTAATCTGTATTTATGCATGGGAAATCTTTGAAGCCCGGATTATACTTCCATCAAGCTCATGCGGACAAACACGGAATACAAATCCAGCGCTTTAGTCGGACCCTTGGCAACTACGTACACTTCAACAGACTATCCACCACCCTGGAGGGAAGCGAGATTAACAGTCCTAAATATAACCGCCACGATGATAACGGTGTGAACTACAGCGTGATAGTTCAGCTAGTGAAAGTCATCTAACAGTCAGTGCACAACGCAGACATCCATTCTCCCCCATCGTTCATTTTACTAGTAAATAGTTACTGGAGAGCTTCAGCCTTCAGCTCCA